TAGAGGCTTGATTGCACATTGTGTTGTACCGTGTTTTATGTCTATGTTCTATACCTTGTTTTTGGCTCTTATCTTCTATATACTTTTCAGCCTAGTCTTATGATGCAACATACAGTATCGCATACATTACGCAGATTATGGGCTGCATGACATCTGTTCTCGTTCCACGTGTTTATCGGTGACAGCATTTCACTTGTCATTCCAAAAATCGTACTTCCTCAGGGCAATCTCCCATCCCATTATCGTCGTAACATATGTACCACAATCAGTGGACCGATTAATACCGATTAATTATTGCATTGCAGCTTGAGAGGATCAGCAAAAGCCCAAACTATCTCCACACTTCTACAATAGGCAGGACAGCCCTGTATTAACCGCTACCCACAACACCAGCACTCTATTCCACTCTATGGCCAGTGTTCCATCCGAACCAGAATGATCGTATGACGACACGACGCTTCCGTTGGCACCCGCAAACTCGACCCCCAAATCGTTCAGCGCTCCAGTGCGGCTCTCTTTCCCACTCTCGTCGAATAGCGTATCAAGCGTATTGACATCTTGCTGCACCATCATATCAGGCGTCAATAAGACCTCCTCGCGGGACAGTAACGACAGCTCACCATATCGTACATTGCCCCAAACCAGAACCATCTCTCGACCCAGCTGACGCTCTTCATATAGGCAGTCGTGACGTCCATAAATCTCTGGATCTCGATGTAGGTCGCTTGGTCATCGTAGAGACCTGTCGTGGAGTTGTAGACCGAAAAGTTCTGAGGTGCGTATTCTATCGACCAGGTCAACACTTGCGCAAAGCCCACTCAGGCAGGATGACTCACCGGTAACCCATATGGGAAGGTCGTATTCGTTATGGTAGTGCTGGATGTGCTCGATAAAGTCTTGAGCCACTGGGTCGTACTACATGAGTGGTTAAATGTTTGCAGCCAAAAAAGGGTGTACACTCACCCAATGGACTGCTGTAAAGTCTGGATTACAGCCACCATTGCAAGCAGAATACCAATCGATCATCCATTGCTTCCCGGTGTCCCCGCCCGTCACAGCCGGACTCCCGAGCCTATACCCCTTCTCTTTGAGTGGCTCCAGTACATCGACCCATACCTGAGCTGCCTGAGAGGGAGTGCATTCAGCTTGTCCAGCATGGTCAGGCTCGTTGAACCCCAAAATGTCGCGTGAGGGCGTAAGGGTCACATTGGAAAAGTTGCCCGCCAATTGCTCGAGAAAGGCGTCGGTCTCGGATTGCGATGTACAGCCCCACAGCATGGGCACAAAGCTGAAAGGGACGTCATAGATGTCGGAGTCGTCGGCAGTGGGTACGACAGGGTTTGGGGACCAAGTATAGTACGATGAGATCTGTGTCCCAGAGCCTAATCGGGATTTCATCAGACCTTGCACTTTCAGAGGGAACTGGCATACCTGCGAAACCTGCCATTGGCACCCAGAGTCCACTTGACCAAGCCAGACCTGGCCCTCCAGAGTCATAGTTGAGGATATCTGTTGCGATAGAACTCTTCAGGGTAGCTAGGAGCCAGAGGAGCAGCATCCTCTGGGCGATTCTTCTTCAAGGCCTGGCTTGCGGATCGAGAGATGTTGACAGTTTTGAGTTTCGTGCCGCATGGTGCTCGCTGGTGTACGAGGCGATGAAAGTCTGCTGCGATTATCGCTCGAGACAAAAAGATTGTGAACGCGCTTCAAGTTTCAAGCCTTGTTTGCCGTGTGTGGCCACACACCCTCCACTTTCAACAACACGCGGCGATCACCGACAGTGGGATATCTGTTGTAGGTTCTTTTGCGACGATACCTGTACACTTGGGACCTACAGGAGATCCGAATGGCTCGAGTCCTGATAATACTGGAAATTTTCCAAGCCATCAATGATCAACATTGTTCGAAGAGGGCGCGCCATGGTGGCAGGCTGGTCAAGTGGGTGGATCGATCGCGTCTGCGCCGAGTACCCGATCATATACGGTCCTCAATGCGCCTCATGGCTCCGATATCGGTGGACTTGCTGCATACTATAGGCCCTCCTGTGACCAGTCTCAAGCACATAGCCACATCACGAGCGGGCCACCATGTCCATCGATCAAGGGCGGCGCCCGAGATCATCGCACCATCAACGAAAGGTTCCCACAAAGCGACATTTCCCAACCCTCCCTTTGATCCCGTTCCTCCCTCAATTGCTCTTTGCCAGTCCCCCGGGGCAACAATAGATGACAGCCTGTCCTTTCAAAGTGATCCGGCTTGCCCTTTGCATCACGCCCCCTCGTCGGGTGCTTCTTTTCTTCGCTTTTGATGCTGCTTGCGTATGGTATGTGGATGAGTGTCAGAGCCTGTAGTGGCGAGATGAAGGCCGAGGGGTATAAGAGCGGCCACCTTAGCTGATGAGTTTAACTTCTCAGACCTGCGGTCTTTGAAAAGCGTCTACACCAGCCCTCATTTATTCACGATTGCTCTGCTAGTATTATATCGATTACCATCATGGCTCCCACTGTCTCTCACATCGCCGAGGTTGATGCCAGCAAGCTTGACTGTAAGCATATATATCTCTTTGCCCGAATCGACTCGAGCTCACACCATATCAGCTTTGTCCCCCAGCCAACGGTCCACCGCACACTCACAATGGCTCAACATTCTCTCCGCCCGCCTCTCTGCCTTGCAATCTGCTCACAACATGTGCATGGATCTTGATGCGGGGGGAGGCATGGCATCTGTATCGGAAGAGATCGCTCCCCTGGAGGAAGCGGTTAATGAAGCGAGAAAGATGGTCAGCGTGCTTGGATCGCAGCTGAGGAGGCGGGGGAGTGATGTCGATGTGTACTGAGTGCGCTGGGAGAGACATGGGAATTGTGAGAAAAAGTCCGTGATGAGTTGTGCCAGTATCAGATCCATGTATTACTAGAGCAAGCAGGAGGTCGACATCTTCTCATTACCCGTCATATGACAGCGATGCGTTATGGGATCAAAAGTAATTGCCCTTGCCCGCATACTCTGCCTCGACCGGTCGCGCCGGGTCCCCTTCTCCACCTTCATCCTCGTCATCTGAATCCGAGTCGCCCGACCTGCGAGGTTCAAACTTGCTCGGAGGGGGTGTGAACGCTTTGGCACCGAATATAGGTCTGCCGGATGGTGTTATCAGTGACGAGACAGGCGGCACCGTTTGAAACGAAACCTGTCACAGGTCAGCACTGCCGACAACAAACGCAAGCTGACATACCGTATCGTTCATCTTTTGATAAGTCTTGCCCCACGCTTTGACCACTTCCAGCTCTCTCTCCACCCTGCCCTTTCTCGCCTTTCGCTCTTCCTTTTTTCTCTCTCCCGACTTGCCCAGAGACAGACCTTTGAGACGTTCGCGTACTTTACCGTCTTCAAGCTCTTCCAGCCTGCTCTGGGCGTCCTTGACCCAGGCGAGTGCTTCACCTATCTTGGCGCCTTTGGAGTTTTCGCCAACATCAACGGCGAGCCATTTGTGTGCCAAGGCGAGTGCCAGGCTAGATTCTTTCGTCAAGTATCGCTTGAGCTGAGGTATCACCTCGCCCTCAACCGCATCCGGCTCATTCACCTCTCTATCTGACCCTCTCCTAAACAGCTTGCGAGAAGGATTACTGGACGAAGTAGGTTGTTGTTGGTTGACGTTGAGGAGAGCGCAGGCAGAGGTGTAGAGGTGGTCGACGTGGAGGTAGAGTTTGGCCTGCAGAGATGGAGAGGGGTGGTTGGGCGGAAGAGGGGGACCGGGTGGAGAGAAGAGGGTATACGTGAGGACGGGGAGGAGGAGTTTGCGGATTGCCGTCTGGTGGGCGTCGGCGAGAGACATCCTGCTCGTATCAGCCAAGTGTCACAGCTACACAAAGACGTACATGGAAAGCGCCTTGAACGTCTCCCGACTACTCTCGGCTGGCCACCGCCTCTTGCCGAGCCTCCCACCCATGGCACTCTTGACGGGCTCCACTTTGAGACACACATTCTCCGACGCCCACTCTGCCACCCCGCTCGCCTGGCACAGCAGATCCACGGCTCTCGCAAGTCCTGCAGTGGTACGTTTCTCGTCTTCTGCAGACATGTGGGGCATGGATTTGCTACCCGCAGGGATCTCGAAGGCAGGGAGAGATTGGAGGATAGAGTGGGCATAGTTGGACAGGGCGAGAGAGTAGGTCAGGATGACCATGAGATGCTCAGAGTGGATTGAGGGGAGAGACAGCAATGGCGGGGACATGTTGTATTGGGTAAGAGGTGCTCGCCATGGAAAGACTGGGGAGTGTCAGTGGAGATCTGTTGCCAAGGCTAGCGACTGACCCGGCTCGGCCTTGAAGAGCAGTTGGTCGGCATCGAGGCAAGCAACGATGCCCTGGAGGTACGGGAGGTACACCTGTACAGCCTGTGGGGTCAGCAGGGTCCCTGCGGATGGATGCTCACGTCTAGGACGGGGAGGGGGCTGGGGTCTGCGAGCGCGAGGGAGAGGCGGGTGCGGGCTGCGGTGGCGTCTGCGAGGGTGGCGGTGTACGCCGCGTGGGGGTCGCTGAGCAGGGCGGGGAGGGCGAGGAGGGCGGTGGAGGGCAGCGGGAGCAGATACGGCGCCATCGTGGATCAAGAGGACAAGAGAGAACACAAAGAGAACAACGAACAAACAACCAAGAGTAGCAGCATTTGCTTCCGTCTTATCTAATCTCGATTCCAAATTCGCACATTATATTTTGGAATGCCTATGGCGTGACCCTGGTCGCTTCTTTTTCGCCATCTCTTTCATCGTCTCTCTTAAACACCATGGCCACCAACATCACCTTCCACCCCGGAGCAGTCACCCAGGACGAGCGCGACTCCCTCCTCGCCCAGAAGGGCGCCACCATCTGGCTTACCGGCCTCAGTGCTTCCGGCAAGTCCACCATCGCCACTGCCCTCGAGCAGCACCTTCTCCACAAGAAGCTGCACGCCTACAGGCTCGACGGTGACAACATCCGCTTCGGTCTCAACAAGGTGCGTATTTTTCACCCTAATGGCCCCCGCTCACACTTTTCAGGACCTCGGCTTCGACCAAGCCTCCCGTGTCGAAAACATTCGCCGAATCGGCGAGGTTTCCCTCCTCTTTGCCCTCTCCTCCACCATCTCCGTTACCGCCTTCATCTCCCCCTACATCTCTGACCGTCAGCTCGCCCGAGAGCTCCACGAAAAGGCCTCCCCCGCCATCCCCTTCATCGAGGTCTTTGTTGACGCCCCCATCGAGGTCGTCGAGCAGAGAGACCCCAAGGGATTGTACAAGAAGGCCAGGGCTGGTGAGATCAAGGACTTTACCGGTGTCTCGGCCCCTTACGAGGCACCCGTGAACCCCGAGATCCACATCAAGACCAACGAGGTCGACGTTGCTGGTGCCGTCGAGATTATTACAAAGTATCTCGTCGAGAAGGGCCTCATCTCTGCCTAAGTAAAAATAATGCAATGCATTGACGACTAGAAACAGCTTTTGGGACATCTGATTTGCGTCCGTGCAGGTGGACTTGGATCTGTGGTGATCTCGGGCATGCGACAGTAGTGGACAGCTCAGAGCTACTACGGTCTAGCGGTCAACGATCGGCGTCTGAGATGGGAAGACTGTGACGTACTTCATTCACGCCCACCCTCCACCTGCTCTCGTACATAATTGCCGAGGATCTCGATAAACTCGTCAACAGCCATGTTCTCCTCGCCCTCGGTCCAAGGACACATCATCTCCACCTCTCCGGCATTCTCTACCATCTCTACCTTCCCTACTTCCCTGCCCTCCGTGCCCTCTCCGCCCTTTCCGCCCTTCCTGATCGTTCGGCTGTTGCCGATGAACCCTGCCTTTCTGATTTCTCCTTCCTTCCCGTTCATTGCTTCCAAAGATTGCTGATGATAATCACGGAGAAAGTCCAGAAGTCTTCTCAACAAGTCCTTCAGCGGTGAGAGACAGCATTGTGCGTTGTAAATGTTTTCCGAAGCCCCATTTGACCACAAAAAGGCAGACCGCTTGCTCTCTGAAGCAGGGAATGATCCGAAAAGAGACCTGAAGATAGACGCATCGCGTGTGTTGGAGGTACCACCCTGTGTGTCAGAGTGAAGTGGAACGTAGACTAGGGCCCAGAAGAAAGACTCCAAATCGAAGATTGGGGAATGTGCGGACGGAATATCGATTCCATCCGCGATCCTCTCACGGGCGGTGAAAAATGGCTGTCGCCATAAAGTCCAAGGTCCCCTGCAAGTACCAGCATCAGACACACGAGCACGGTGGAGCAAGCTAGGAAACAAACCGTGAGAAAAGCTTTGTCATCGTTGGCAGTCCCGCCTTTTTGCCGTCTCTTGACAGCAAGATCAAAATCGATGAACATGCCACAGAGCTTCCCATCTTCATCGTCAATCAGATAGCGCGGATCGTAGCCAGTGGGCACAGCACGCCGGTCATGCTGATGGTCATTGCATGGCACGAAATCTTTGGTTGAACCAACGACAATATTGTTGGCGCTGATATCTCGATGTAGCCACCCGCTTTGAAGAAGGTTGCGGTACCCTATGAAACACAGTTCTAGCCACATTCATGATACTCTGGAGCATCCCCCGCGCTGTACTCACCATGCAATGCTCCCAGTATAGCTTTCACAAGACCCAACATACTGTGCTTCTCGTATATGTCGAAAATGTGAGCCATTATGTTACGGTTTCCTGGAGGGTCTCGACACGACGGGTGACCGGTTTTGGTTGTACAGAGGACGCGTGTCCGGGGGAAGGACTGGCAGGAGTGACATATTTGCTAAGATAAAGATTGCTGGTGACTTCTTGCAACTGCGGAAGTGTCAGCAAGGCACAGGTGCTAACGAAAACACGAGTCGATAACTTACAAGATCATTCCCGCCGCTCAATTCGTCTGAGTCTTCAAGAAATCAAGACCAATGAGGTAAAATTTCTCGTCACTCTCTCCCACCACACAACTCACAGTCCTAGTTGGGCAACCCTTACGACGAGAGGCAAAATGAGCAATGCCAAGCATGGACTGGTTATGGAGGAGCACGTCTTCCAGAAATTGGTACACTTGTCTTTCAGGATCGTTGTGTCGAGTGATGGGATTGTAGATGTCCGTTTCCACTTTGTGCTCAGTCTCTGTGGACGATTGGACAACAACAGTCATGTCTGGAGCGTCAAGCGGCTGGATATTTTTGTGATTGAATAGAGGCGATGACCCAGCCACGCCCGAGCCTTTTTTTGAAGCAGCTTGCTGACCACAAAGATCAGTTCTCCTGATTGGAGAGTGCCCGTAGAGATACTGTACTCTACTTACCGGTTGGTTTGGCTCATGTGTTGCCTTCACCCTCCGTTCTACAGACATTGAGCTTTGCCCAGACTTCCCACGTTTGGTAGGTCGGGGAACTGTATCTTCCTCCTTCTATCGCTTCTTGGCTTCCTCCAATGGAGCTTGCCGAGCAGATTCATACTCTGTAATTTTCCGGGATTCAGCGGTATGAAGGGCATCGACGCGGGTGGTTCGAGATGTATACGGTCGTTCGAGACCAGATGTTGTTCCGGTTACACAGGCGTTTTATTGCTGCATCTCCACACTTCCTGAGGGTAGGACCACTTTTCAAGCACCATGTTTCCGGCTTCATTGGAGTAGAAGCGGATGCGCCGGTTGCAGCCAGCATCGTCGATAGGAGAACAGTACATCCCTGCAAGAAGACGCCAGAAGCGGGTGTACTCGTAGTCATCCTTGAGATTGTGGATGTGTGTGAGGTAGATGCCTGCCATATCTATTTCCCCGATGGCCCCTTGCACTTTGGTATCATTGAATGATATGACAACGAAGCGTACACCACGTCGATTAGGCTGGGAACCAAAAGTAGCTTGACCATAGGTGGAGGCTTGAAGTATAGCCTGGTAGATACTCTGGTTCTTTTTGACCTCGCCAAAAGTGATCAGGTGCGCTGCCTGCGCCCGGTATGATTTATCGGGGAGTGCTTGTTTGCCGTCATCGAAGAATTCTAGGTCATGGAGCTTGCACCCGACCAGGTCTAGTTTGAGCTCATTGTCGCTGTCCTTGTCAGACATGAGGTGCTTGTCGTAAGCGATCCATCGGAATTGCTCCGTATAAGAGTTCGAGCGCGCGATATTCGACACTCTTGCCAGACCTGATATGGGCCTCTCGGGCTACACTCAAGACCGAGTTCATGAACTTGGCAATCTGCTGATAGTGGGCAGCTTCATGAGCCCCTTTGGCCATTCAGGAGGGGTGGGATCTTCGCAATTCGGTGGCATATGCACCGACAAATCGCGTTCGAGGATGGCCGAGTCGGGATCGAATGGGAGGGCGTGGGCAGTCGCCTCCTTGAATTGGGATTAAGAGGGATCTTCCGATAGCCCTAGGAGCTGTAAGATGTTTTGGGGTCGGCTGCAGATGGTCGTGCGGACGCCTTGAAAGAGGTAGAAGGGGAGGCGCCGGGAGAGTCCTGGCCGGACGGTCGAGAGGGTGACTTCGGGTGCATGGTGCGAGAACTCTATGAGTACTCGTACTGGCGAGGCGCCGATCAGGAAGTAGATGTGCTGATGAACGGGCGGGTCAATGAAGAGCTCGGTGGGTGATAGTGAGTGAAGAATGCATGCCACCCATTCATACATTACTCGTACCGTATCCTACGAGTACGCATTTGTGTGTGAGAACAGGCTCCGTACTTTAGGTATCATGTGATCTTATTATGTTGTTGACACGGCGTGCCTCGCTCAGCTCTTCACTATTTGCATTTTTCTAGTCATACTTGACGATTGCCGATGGAAGTCTACGCGCCTCATGAGACCCCTCGTCGAGGTGAGCACCAGGATTCAAGACTGCGTCGAAATCACCACCGAGCACCCTGAGAAGTCATGCATCAACTGTCCGGAAGACATATGGTTGTGTGTTATGTGCTATCAGCTACCTTGATCACCCCGCAGAGTCTCATTGTCGTCGTCATCATCGTCATACCCCTTCGTCTCCAGCTTTTGCGCTCCCACCTTTCGAATCAGCGCCTTGAGCCCCAGAATGTCGTTCTCAATCCCACCGCTCAACGCTCCCATCGCCTGCCCCTCCTCTGAGCCTCCCACAATCACGATCCCATCCACCGCCTCTTCTATCCTCTTTAGACACTGATCCTCTTCCAGCTGCTCTTCAATCCAGTACTCGTGGTCCGTCTCGTCCATGTACGGCTCTTGTTCCTTTCTGTCTGCCCTAGCTTGGGCGAGATTGTACACGATAGCGGTGGAGGCTTTCAGTAGGCGACGGGTGAGATCCGGAGGAAAAGGGGTGTGAACCACGCGGAGGGCGTCTTTGAAGGATTTGAATCTGCGAGTGTCAGCCAAGCTTTGGGTAGAGAGTTGAGACTTACAGGATGGAGATGACAGAGATATCCAAAGCGTTCACCATAGCTTTGATGAGCTGTCTGAAAGCCTGCACATAATTTTCCGGGTTCGTGTTCCAAGCACCCGACTCTTTCGCAACCGCCAACAGGGCCGGTACCAGACTGGTCTCATCAGCCTTGTTCTTGCATCGCGTGGCAAACTCACTAGGCCGCAACGTTCTTCACGCTCTCCGCATATGGGTGGTTCAACTCTTCCAAGCACAGCCCCATACTTTGCGCCAGCCACGGCGCAAAACTCTCCCTCATTTTGCTTGCGTAGAAGCCCAGATGCTTGAACGCTTCGGCCTTGTCAGATAGCTCGTCGCCCCAGTATGGGTCGTCTTCGTCGTCGGCATCTGATGGGGCTAGTGATGTTTTCACTGCGGCTTGTCAGTGGGTGGCGCTGCCGGGAAGAGAAATTGCGTACTGGGAGAAGCCTTTTGAGGTCGATAAAAGGCCGTTTTGAGGAGGGGCGGGATGACGTATTGCAAGAAGGGTGCAAACTGCTGGCCCAAAGAGTCACACATATGTTCCCATGCTATGTACATGTTAGTTTTGATTACCCCGCGACAAACAGCTTACCATCCATAAGATGACGCGAGCGTGGATCATCCTCGTCGACGATGGTGTTTTGAATAGACAACAGCAATTGGACGAATTTGAGCGCGTCTCCGGGATTCTCTTGAGACCACTAAACGATCATGAGCAATCATTCTGATACAAAAGGGTAGTCTCTTACAGTTCCACCTAGAGCGATGGCGAGCATGTAGCCGCACTCGATAGCCCCGCCTTGAACCACACGTTCCTCCTTGCTGGCTCCAAGCTGGGCCGACATGATCTGAAAGCAGAGATCCATGAGATTACCTATCGATAGGTCAGCAAGACACTCCTCGCGATCAAGGACGCACGATAGTAGGGTCTGAACATGTCCTTTGCCGCCATGGCCACCGTCCCCAGCGTTGCCAATGCCTGGTCCTTTGCATACATCGGCCCTGCCTCATACAATCCCACACATCCCCTCACAATTCTATCCAACACCTCTCCAACTATCTCGGGATGTTCCTCTCCCTCGAAAAAGGTTGTCAAACTAGCAGCAGCGTGGACGCGGACGCGCATGACGGGGTCGTCGAGGAGGTGCAGGATGATGTGGAGGGTGTCGCGGCCATAGTCTGTCTGAAGGGCGTCGAGTCCGTCGGTGAGGATTTGGCCGATGCATTGAAGAAAGGCGTAGCGGACCCGAGGGTGAGGATCTTTGGCCGTAGGAGAAATGGCTCTGCGAGCAGGTCAGTCAACAATCTTAGGAAGAGCGAAGACTTGCGAGAGAATGTCGCGGTCGACGATGGCATCGCCAAAGGCCTCTGCTACACAACCAACGCCCATAAGAGCAGCGAAACGACATCTCCAATCTTCCTGTTGCAAGAGAGCCTGGACATGCTTGAGAAGCGAAGAGTAAATGATCTCCATGCTCTCGTCAGTATAGCCTGTGTCCAATCAGCAATAGGCCCAATAATGCCAAGATGAACTCACTAGCAGCAACACTTAGCCTATCAAGGGCTTCCTCGGGAAACACTGGATAGTTGACGTCCTCTTCATCAAGCTAAAATCCATCAGCTCTGCTTGCCAGGTAGCCCAAACTCACGTCTTCCTCTTCCATCCACTCTTGACAGTCCATCTCAAAGGTTGCCACTTCTCTCCCCAACAGCAGTCCCACCATCTCACTCAGCGCTCTCCCGTTCTCAAACTCTTCGAATTCATTCGGTCTCATCTCTGCTAAAGAAAGCAAGAGCTCTGTAGCAGGGTTTGCAAACGCCTCCCATGCCTCAAGAGTCATATCGTGTGCCGGATACGGGGAGAAGGCGTACGGGGGGAGATTGCGACCCTGAGATGGGGGAGAGAGGAGTGGAAGAAGTTTGGTGATGATCAAGGAGAGAGAAGAGATGAAGAGCTTGGGGTGAATGGATGCTAGTTCAACGAGAGGGATGAGGCCAATAGGGACAAGGTCTTGGGGAAGGTTTTGCAGCGTCTATTCAAGTCAGTACAGTCTACAGACCATCAAGAGGACTCACCTGGAACGAAGCCTGTATCAGGACCTCGCCCACCTCATCTCTTGCTTCGTGCGTCAAAGCTCTGATGAGCAGACTCTTGGTAGCCTTTATAGCTTCCAATCTGACGTCAACACTCGAGTCCTCCAGTCCTGTGAGTAGGAGAGCCGTGAGCTGGCTCGAAGATAGCGGCCCATCAGCAGCATCATCGACAAGTGTCGGGGTATAACCAAGTAACTGAAAAGAGGTGAAGCGGTGAAAGGCGTTTGGCGACTGTGTCAATTCAAGACAGACCGGGACGAACGGCCTAGCTGGTCCTGATACTCGTGTCAGCCATGTCAAGGGTATACGACCAAATTCACTCTTCCGCTTGTGACTCTCCTCTGCCCAACTAGCAGAACACATTCCCAGACCTTTCCTGATTCTCGGATCCAACTCGTCTTTCAAACCAGCGCAGAGGACCGTTTCGATCCGTCCGCGCGTCGTTTCTCTAATCACGTCAAAAGGTGCGGAGGGGAGCTGATGTTGAGAGTTCAAGTATAGACCTGGAAGAGGCTTGAAAGCCAAACTCTTGAGGAGAATGAGGCTCAGAAAGCGCTCCTGTCGATCGTTCGGTCAGCTGGGCCTCGGTGGCAAGTGGCAGGTCCTCACGTCTAATTGAAAGCCGCCGACTGCCAGAGCTCCTATCTGGGCGAGCAGTAGAAGGACCTCTGCAGGCTGCTCTACTGTGAGCTTTTGTAGGTGGAGTTCCGCTCTATGGGGCGTGTGGTCAGCCAGTGTCACCCCTCCGAACTGGCCAGGATATGTGACGCACTCTCTCCGTGGCTCGTTTGCGATGCCATTGAGGGCGGACAGGATAGCCCCGATGTCCCCCAGGAGGTGCTCAGTGGACATGCTGTGGTGAGATGTGGTATACGCTGAGAAATGAATTGAAAATCCCACTGTATCGACCAAGTTGCAGCGGCTCTGAAAGCCGAGAGGCACGCACTACAAGATTACAGCGCGCACTACAAAATATTTCTAATGGGGCTAACCAAATAAATCTAAATCTGACTTGGCGAATCAGTCCCTCTGTCTAATCACTGCACCCCATGCCCACCATCGGCCCCTCCCTGCTCTTCGCTGCCGGCCTCACCCTCGGCGTCGGTGCCGGCGTCCTCTACCCCAAGCAGTCCCAGGCCGCAGTCCCGCTGCCTCCAGCTCCCCCCGAGGGCGCCCTGCGAGGAGTCTCAGAGGCCAAAGAGAGCAGGGCTCTCATACCCACAGCGGGCGGCATTGTCGGGCCTCTGCAGCATGGCTTCCCCGGTGAGCTTCTTGTACATCTTTCGTGTCTCGTGCTGATACGTTCCAGGTCCTACGCCAGACATCCTCAAACGTGTCGCGTACACGGCAGCTTACGACCGTCGTCTTCGACACCCCGCCTGGACTGCCGAGCACATTACTGCCACGTCCCTTGCCAAAAAGCCTCCTCCTCAAGCCAGTACGAACCCTGTACCCCTTGATGTTGCACGTGCGGCAGATGTAGCCCCGCCGGTCAAGGTCGACAGATCAAAGAGTGTGTTCAAGGAGGATGAGGGGATTCCCGAGATGTTTAGGGCCAAGCTGGGAGATTGTGAGTGGCCGGCTTTATCGATGAACGTATGCTGACTTGTGATAGACTTCCGAAGTGGTTATGACAGGGGTCACATGTATGCACCCTTCTCGCTGATCGAGCTATGCTAATGTCTTTAGGGTGCCCGCTGCTGACGCCAAAATCTCTCAACAAGCCATGGACGAGACATTCTACCTTTCCAACATTGCTCCTCAAGTAGGCGATGGATTCAACAGACACTGTATGTAGATCGATGTAGGCCCTCATCAGAGCTAACGTACGACAGACTGGGCGTACACGGAAGACTTTTGCCGACGGTTGACTTCCAACTTTGAGGACGTCTACGTGTTTACGTGAGTCTATTGAATCTTAACGAACCGCTCTGACTTGCACAGTATCCCTCTGTATCTGCCAGAGAAGCAGAATGATGGAAAATGGCGTGTGGTAAGTACCCCAAATCATCTTGAATCCCAACCAACACGTCTTGCAGTCTTACGAAGTCATCGGAAACCCTCCTTCCGTCTCTGTGCCCACCCACTTTGCCAAAGTCATCCTCGCCTCCCGCCCCGACTTTGCTTATCCTCAAAAGCCCGCCCCTAATTCGCTCGTCCCTGCGACTTCCCCTTCTACCGTCAAAGAACTCGCCCTGGGCGCGTTTGTCTTGCCAAACAAAGAGATTCCCGATGGTGCCGACTTGAGAAGCTTTATCGTTCCGGTCGAGAGCGTGGAGAAGGCTGCCGGCTTGAGGCTGTTTGGCGAAGAGGTCAAGGCCAAGACCAAGCAGCTGTGTGCGGTCACTCAGTGCCAGGTGATTGTGAGGAGGTTTGACGATGCAAAGAAGCAGTTTGGTGGTAAAAAGTAGCCCGTTCATCCATCTCATAGCATTTATCCCTTTGCATCATTCCTGCATGTCTCGGTAATATACATTTACGTCATTCCTATCCACTCTAGAAGCCTCTTCCACCCCCAACGGCATTCCCACTGACGTACGTCTTTCTCGTTCCAGCCCACGGCCTCGGCGCAGGGAACATTCCCTTCATAGGGAAAGTCCATCCACCAACAACAGCCGCCGGCTCTGGCACTCCATCATCTTCTTCGCTCCCAGCATAGTCGGATCCAGAGTTGGAGCTAAAACCATTTCGCGCGATGGGCGGTGCGAGGCTTGCACGATTCGTAGGACCAGTTCCTGCAGCTGGAGGAGGGGCAAAGACTGTACCAGAGGGCTTGGGACGAGTATCAAAGGCTGGCGAGGGCACTGGACGGGCTGGAGCAGGCGGAATAGCTCTCTAGAGAGATATTAAAGATGTTCCCTTTTGTACATGAACACTTACAGCGGCAGGGCTCGGTCCAGGGGGAGCTGGTGGGGCCACAGGAGGAGCTGGTGGCAATCGCTGTGAAACGAGTCAGTCAACAGTTCCATGTCAGATCAACATTTCCGTGCCATATCAACACTTACAGCAGCAGGACTTGGTGCAGGCGGCAACCCTCTCACGGCCGGACTCGCTGTCCTCGGCAAAGGGGGCGGCGCTTCTTCCTCACTTTCTTCCTCGGGTTCGTACGAGGGCTGACGTGGCGGCGCAGGGGGAGGCAAGCTCCTTGCTGGAGGAGCTGGTGCAACGGGCGGCAGTGTTCTCCTTGGAGCTACCGCAGGAGGAGGAGAGGGAGCGGAAGGAGATGCGACACTGGTAGGTCTGCGAGGCGGCGTGGGAGGGGCCCGAATTTCGCTAGATGAAGGCAGGGCTGGAGGAAGAGTGCGGCTCGGAGCGGCATACGAACTGGCCGGGCGAGAAGGAAGAGTAGGCGGGCCTGTTGGTCGAGGGGGAGGAGGAGGGGGTGCTCGCTATGTATGATTAGAGAGTGTAAACGCAGATCACAGGTACTTACAGGAGCATTTCCCGAAGGCCTAATGGGCGGGGGAGGCACAGTTCGCTACATATCATCAGCAATGACTCTGAGAGCACCCAAAGCACTTACACCACCTCCGACAGTGCTTGTAGGCCTACTCGGCAGGCTCGGAGCAGGGGATCTCCCAGGTAAAGGCGGCGGGGCTGGCGTATTTCTCTTTGGCGGAGCAGGGACAGTGGGCACAGCTCTCACTGGCGAAGGAGCAGCCCTTGCAGGAGGCGGTAAGTCTCGAGCTGGTGCTGCAGATGTAGAACTTGTAGGAAGAGGAGGGGGAGGGGGCGGGGGCGGTGGCGGTGCAGGGGGAGCAGTACGCGAGATCGTTGGTGGCGGCGGTGCAGGGGGGATTCTAGGGGGAGGTTTACGTGAAATAGCGGGGGCTGGCGGTACGGGTGGACTATATTGGCATTAGATGGACGTCTTCACGATTCAAAGAAAGACTTGCGCTCTTGCGGGCGCTGACGGGGCAGTCCTGCTGGGTGCACTTGGCAGAGGTGGGGCAGGGGCCGGCTGTCGAGGAGCTGTGGGTGGGGGCGGGGGCGGTGCTGATGGCTTGGACTTGTTGAACGATGGGACTGGTGGCGGTTTCGCGAGGTTTCCTGGGCCCGCTGTGGTATTTGGTCAGTCGACTCCAACGAGAGAGCTTGAGGGCACGTACATGGCACTCTGTCTCCGGCCTTTTTCAGCTGTGGCATACCGCCAGCAAAGAGCCCGGCCAGTTGCGAAGCTGGATCGCTGCTCGACGCAGACGGGGCCGAGGGTGCGGAAGGTCGAGGTTGGGCAGCGGGGCGAGATGGACCCCCACCATCGACGACACCGCCTGCGACCTGCGGGCCGGACTTGTCGACTGTGGTCGCCTTCTTGAGACCCTTTCCCTCTGCATGGTGTGTGAGCTGCTGCCATGCACGACACGGTCTCCTTACGCTGTATCTGGGAGAGGAGGGCTGCGTTCATGGTGTATGGGGAACAGGAGAGAGTGACGCAGCGAACACCGCCGACGGTTAGATTTGATCCCGCACATGACGCCGACGTGTACGCCGATAGCGACAACGACTCTTGCGATGGCCTCAACGCCTTCTCCCACTCATCCTCGTATCATGAACTTTTCTCCCTGTGAGTCCTATCATCCCATACATGGCTGACCCTGCGCTAATCACGTCCGCCATCTACAGACCAGCCACCTCCCGACGTGCCCTCGACAGACCCCCCAGAGCCATCCAAGAAGACGAAGAGCAAATCCAAACGACCATGGTTCAACCGGTTCGTATATATACTCACCTTGCGCTCTTCTCCGCTGACCATAGATCCTAAAGAGATCCTTCTTCCTATAATACGAATTCTTACCAGTCCGGTGGCTCTATTTCAGACCCAACTGCGGTCCCGCAAGCATACTCGAACGACCCCGAGTCGGCTGCATTCTTGGACTCTGGCGTCCAAGGCGGAGGCCTGGAGGCTGACAGGGCGAACGCCTGGGAGAGTAGGTTTGGTTGGCGAGTGGACATTATGGCCGCAGCTGCTTATCTTGGTGGACCGGTGACTGGTGAGTACGAGTAGTTGACATCTGAGTAGAAACAAGGACTGATGCGCCTCAGCGTTGTTCTTTTTGATTCTTGAGACTCGAAATGACTATGTCCGCTTCCATGGTGAGCTAAAACCTTTGTCACTCGAGGCATCAGCTTAAATAGCATGCCTTACAGCCTACCAATCATCCCTCCTGACGACCCCCATTCTCGCCCTCCTCCTCATATTCAATCTCATCATCCCCCTCCCTTCATTCCTCCGCACTCTCTTCATCCTCGCCTCAATTGGAGGCACGCTATACGCTGCGTTTAGGGCTTGGAAAGATGCCCAGGAAGGGCTGGAGAGGTTCTGGCTGCCATACATAGGGCCCATTGCGGAGAGATGGGTCAGTGAAGAGTAGCATCTTGAGCCCACTCAAGCAGATGAGACGAGCCTGTCGTAATAGGATATGCATGCTGTCAGACCATATTTGCGTGTGTTAATGCTACAGCCTTCTGAGAGGTCCAGAGTCGCAACTTGGACGATCATGAGCTGTTTCGGTAAGCTAATAGTTGGACGGAACAAGGGCTCAGAGTCGTCTGCCGGACGATGAAATCTCGATGAGCCCTTAAGATGGTCGGCGGGGGAGATGCACACCGGCGTAATTCTACCACTCCCACAGTACGCACTACACACACTGGGAGTTCATTCAGTCCTTATATTTCCGAGTCTCAACAGCCAACAGATCATGGATGGTGACGAGCGTGGGAATATTATTGAGAGCGCTTGTCGCGGTGAGCCGAGCGCGAACAGTCCGATTTTGGTCCGATTCTGCATTCAGTTCTCTATTCTCCCCACCACCCCCCGTCTCTCCAAAACGATGCTCCCCACTTGGGCCCGAGGGGGCAAACCTATCATTCTTCCCCTCCCCCAGAAACGCTACCTCGCTCTTCCTCCGCTCCCCATCCTGATCCTTCTCCTGCTCACGGGCTTCTTCCTACACTCCATCATCACTCCGCCTTGCCCCTCCCTTCCTTCCTCGCTGACATTATCAAAATACACAAAATCCCCATTCCTCATCAAGCCATATCAGTTCCTGCCTCCGCCAAAAGTAGAGAGACCAGAGTATCTGCCAGAACCGGTACCGCCAAAGAAGAAGGGGATGGTGGTTCCAGATGCCGTGCATTATGTGTATGGCCTGAAGCCTGTGAAGGAAGGAGAAAAGGGAGAAGAGCTTCCGTACTTTGCGTATCTTGCTATGAGGAGCGCACTGGTGAATATAAAACCGAGTGTCATCTACTTGTAAGTCTCGCTTTATCCTTGACTATCAAGACTGATGTTCCCAGTCATTATGAACACCTTCCAACAGGCCCCTGGTGGGATCTGATACGCCCTCATCTGACGCTTATGAAGACTGTCGTCCCGGACCAGATTTACGGTCGTCGTCTCGAACATTTCGCGCATAAAGCAGATGTTTTGCGGTTACTGGCTATGAAGTACTCGGGCGGCATCTATCTTGACATCGATATCTTTGTGTAAGCCTCTTCTGCTTCTGAGGAGTAATGTGACTGACAAGGGGATAAAGCACAAAACCGTTTGACGACTTGCTATACTATCCCACGACGTTGGGTATGGAAGCTTCGCCCGACTCTAGGCGTGATGAACTCGACCCGGAAGGTCTTTGCGTGAGTATGCAGCCCTCACCCTTGAATACATGCTGACACTAGTGTCAGAACGCCGTCCTTGTATCTGCTCCAGATTCTCCGTTCATCGAGAGATGGCTCGCTTCTTACGACACTTTCGATGGCGGTATCTGGGCTCGGCATAGCGTCGTCAAGCCTTGGGTGCGTTTCTTACACTATCTCGTCTTGATGTCCACTGACGCTTGGCACAGGAATTAGCCCGTGCTCATCCGACTGAGCTCCAAGTCCTCTCTGAACGCGCCTTCTTCTGGCCCATGTGGCACGGAGACGAAATCCGGAAAACGCACGAGACGAATGAACATGATTTCCAAGCTTCGGGGCAGTACACGTAAGCTCCTCGTATTTCCAAATGGATGAGACACTGACTCCTCAAAAGATACCATGCGTGGGAATCACTCGCCATGGGATACCTGTCCAAGCTATCGCCAAAGAGCATCAGGGAGAATGACAACAGTTTCAACAAGATGGTTCGACCGTGCGTACTCCTGCGTTCTGGCTCTCGCTCAACCAATTACTGATTACGTGCGTAGATTCATAGGGCCAGAGGATGATGAGACGTATAGACGATGGAAGAGGTCAGATTGATACCTAGGAGTTAAGAAACGCTTGCTGGTCATTGTTGGCCATGTGTACCTATGCTGTCTAGCTATGACGCCCACCATGTATCGAGCAGTTGTTCTGAGACTTGTCTCCCCTCGAGAGCACATTTCTCCCTTGCCAACGACCAGTTCAGAGATGTGCTCGGCAATGAATTTCACAAACTCACTTGGCGGTTCTTAAGAGAGGAGGTATGGTACCCGCATATGTAAACCAGGACTTTGTTCATTAGAAATTGGAGCTTTGACTGTGCGTTCAGTGCCAACTTTGAGCGTATACAATTGTAGGAACCAAATAACTAACAAGCATTCATAAATCACAACGTCACGGTTTGTTGTAGTCGGCCTCCGCCGCTCGGTAGGACGATGTCTGAAATCGAGATGAATGGTCTCCAAAAGCATATTCTATCATTAAGATGGACCCCGCCATGTCCACACAACTACCCCCCGATATCAAGGAACCACAAGACCCTTCTACTTCCACTTCCCCCTCGTTCGAGCGCTGGCGGCATTCCCTCGCCCTGTTCACCGGCATGGGGCTTAGCCCGGCTGAGCAGGAGGAAAGACTCAAGCTCCAGGATGCAGGAAAGCTTGAAAAAGATTGGGACAAGTGTGAAAAGTGGAAACGAGATCTTTCCAACTACAGTATGTCTCAAGAGTGATGGAGTGGCAGCGCTGACTTTTATCTGCAGGCCCCATAGTGTCTTTCCTCCTCAATCACCTCAGAATATCTGGATGCCCCTTTCCTTCATCCTCGATCCAATGTCACCCCTGCCCAGAAAACCGAGCTGGTGGTTTCGCCCCCGAGCATGGTATTCTTCTCTGCCAGGACCGGTTTTTCAACAAAAAGCACATGGAAGATACATTGGCACACGAATTGATACATGCGTATGACCATTGTCGGTTCAAGGTCGACTGGGGAAATCTGAGGCACCATGCGTGTAGTGAAGTGAGATATGTTGTCCAAATGTAAGATGGTCAGCTGACTTTTTAAAGATTCGGGCAGCCAACCTTTCGGGTGATTGCAGGGCTACGAGAGAGTTCAAGAGAGGCTTCTACGCGTTCAACAAACAGCACCAGGTGCGTTCACCTTTTATCCGCAGATGTCGCAAGCTCATTCCTACCAGGCGTGCGTGAAGCGCCGAGCCATCCTCTCGGTTCTTGCCAACCCCTCTTGCAAATCACCAGAAATGGCCGAGAAGGCTGTCAATGAGGTCTGGGAAAGCTGCTTTGCAGACACGCGGCCGTTCGACGACATATACTAGCATGGGATAAAGAATCATACATCATGCATGTACTAAACGCTCCTCACAGCGAGGGAGTTTTCGATTCATACAACCCGAGGGCTTTTTAATATTCTACTTCGATATCACCATCATCACCCTGTATCTTGACACCCTTCTCTCGCTCATCCCGCAGATCCACAGCCTTGTCGCCTTCCTCCTTGTCTTGATCGATGTCCATCATGTCTTCCCTACGCGTTCTGCCCAGCTCGTCGACCCCAACATCCCTGTCGCCACCCCGTGCACGTCTAGGTTCGCGTTGAGCGGCAGACCTTTCGCTCCTCATATGCCCGCGATCTCTTTCCGTGATCCTCTCATCAGCCCGCTCTGGCCGTACTTGTCGCCTCAGCCCACCCAGCTTTTCTGAAAGCTCTTCGATCCGCGCTCGGTTCTCCTTTGCCAACGTGCGGACGTGCTGGCGTTCGGTTTCGAGGGAAGCTTGTTCTTCAGAGATGCGTTCAGACATGTTGGTGGTTTGGGAAGCGATGGTGCCTTGTTGATGAGGGAGGAGGATCTTCGGAAGCTGTGTTGCGTCAGCGAGGCTACGAGATGATAGTTGAACGCACAAAATAGAGAGGGGGAAGGTCAGTCTTGATGGGGGGCTCCCGCTTGGGACCAACAGAAATGGGTAAAGGTGCGGGATTGAAGAGTCCTCCTTCGAAGACGGGGGGATGGGGAAGCGGCAATCTCGTGTGGAGGAATTTAGCTGTGGATTGCAAAAGGCTATGACGAGCACCAATCTACGGTCCTCGTTAGCTCCGGACCAGGCGAATAATGCAAGACTCACAGAGATGTCCTTTTGCCGAAGCGTGGTCTCGGCGTGTTCAGTAGCAATCTTGAGTCCTTTCAACTCTCTGTCCGTTTCGGTAATCTCATGGTTCAGAGCGGTTTCCTGGTGCAGTTTCTTGGCTATTCTCTCAGAAACCTCTTCCCTCTTTCTGGCCTAGATACGAATGTCAGCGAACATACTGCAAGACATCAATACTGTATACTCACTGCTTCACTACCGCGGGTAGACTTATCCTCTGTCTGGAACTTTTGAAGTGTCCCCAAGATATTACCGAATAAACGCTTTCCGCGAGCCTTGTCATCCCTGTTTGGCCTTGCACGCCTGCTCACTCTGTCAGTCGAGTTATGCGATCGATGGAAACAGACGCACTTTGTTGGAGGTGCCTCGGTATGTTCTGGCTCCGGGCGGTCGTGGGTGGCCTCTGTGCTGGGCAATGGTCTGCAGCCTGTCAGTCGTTGTCCCCCTACTCCCTCCGACTCACCTCTCTGGGGACTGTTCTGGCATGGCTGTTGCTTGTCGAAGTATGGATGACAGACGCAAGAGGGCCACTACTAACAAAGTGGGTGCTCTCATAAGATTACGTAACAGCCTCTCGACGCGACGGACGGTCTGAGCGTGTCTGTGCTCTTTTCCATCCAACATCTCTCTTTCTTTCTTTCTTTTCCCTCCCAGGTGTCCCCATCCGCCCCCTCGATCCCCAGCGCCAGTGTTTTCTCCCTGTCACACACCCAGTCGCTCCTTCACCTCCCAGTCCACAACAACCCTCAGACCGCCCACCCCCGTCAACCATGTCCAGGCCGAGCAGAGGAAGAAAGCAAGCCAAGAAGGGTGTCCAACTCACCATTATGGTTGTTGGTGAGTCCACATCCCCTGGTCCCTTCGTGTTGCATAGGAGGAAAGATGGCTCGCTGGCAAAAGTGGAATGTGGCCCGTGCCCGGCTAGCACATGTTGCCAACCCACATCCCCAGTCATCGGCGGTGCTCGCATATCTGAAACTCATGCTGACGCTTGCTAGGTGCATCCGGAACTGGGCGAACGACCTTTGTCAACACCCTCGTCGAGTCTGTCCTCCTCGAGCACAGTACCGCTTCCCTCCTTTCCAATCCCGAGGACCTTCACTCTCCTCTCGACCTCAATCAGGTCAAGCAGATTGCTGCCGAGGCTCACGTTGAGCAGCCTATACGCATCAAGCCTGTAAATGTCGAGCTTGAGGAGGAAGATGGTGTCAGGATTGCGTTGACCGTTGTGGACACCCCCGGTTTTGGCGACGGCATCGATAACGAATACTGGTTGGTCTCTTCTCGGTGATCTCAGGCTCCGGCAGCTTATGACGATGTAGCTTCCAAGAGATCTCGACTTATCTCGAGCGACAATACGACGATATCCTCGCCGAAGAATCGAGGATCAAACGTAACCCTCGTTTCAGGGACAACCGAGTTCACGCTCTGCTCTATTTCATCCCTCCCACTGGCCACGCGTGAGTCATATGGGTAGCAGTTATGGTGCCGCGCTGATGTCGGATGTTAGTCTCCGAGAATTGGACATTGAGCTCATGCGCCGACTTTCTCCTCGAGTCAACGTTATCCCCGTCATTGGCAAGTCCGACTCTCTGACCCCCACCGAGTTGAGGGCTTTCAAGAAACGCGTGAGTAAATCTCTACCGCTGGTAGAATCTATACTCATGTTTTTGTAGATAATGGAGGACATTGAGTACTACGGGATTCCGGTCTACAACTTCCCATACGACGCCGAAGAGGACGACGAGGAGACTATCTCCGACAACTCGGCTCTCCGCGCCCTTCTGCCGTTCGCTATCGTCGGCTCCGAGGAAGAAATCTTGATTGACGGAGAGCCTGTGAGAGGAAGAAGGTATCCTTGGGGTATCGTGGAGGTTGACAACCCCGATCATTCCGACTTTGAGCGATTGAGGAATGCTTTGCTTGTGTGCGTGGTTTTCTCGCCTTTCCAAGACCGCTCTGACTTAATCCCAGTACCCACTTGACAGACCTGAAAGAGATTACCCACGACTTCCTTTACGAGAACTATCGTACAGAGAAGCTCTCTCGTGGTGCTGGTGGTGGCGGTAATGACGCGTACGTTCCCTTATGTCTTGGCATTGACACTTGCTGACTTATACACACAGCGACTCCTCCTTCCAGCCCGAGGACATGGCCAACCGATCTGTCCGTCTTAAGGAAGAGCAGCTTCGACGTGAAGAGGAAAAGCTTCGTGAGATTGAGCTCAAGGTGCAGAGGGAGATCCAGATCAAGCGACAAGAGTTACTGGCCAAGGAGGACAGTCTGAAGGTGCTCGAAGCGAGACTGGGTGAGTGCCTTCTTACGAATATTGACCAAGCTGATATCTACCTCAGCTGCTCAAGGTTCTCACTCGCGTGAGGGTACTCCCAACTACTAAAATCGTCATCTAAACCAAGTCCTGCGCGCTCTACGAAATGTCTATATCTCATGTCTATTATGCCCCCTCCAGAGATGTCCTCCGGTCCACGACTCTTCTTCTCTCAACATCCAAATAGCCTCACCCTCCTCGTTTTTGCTCCCTTTTTCAGTTCTTGCCCTAATACCCCACTTTTCTCGGTAGATTCCATATGTCCATTTAGATTATGGGCTCTTTGGTGAATCTGCCGTATCTTTTGGATCTCTGTTTGATGTCTATACCCCGGGATGAATATCAACTGTTTACAGTTTACATCATTACTTCAGTGGACTAATTTGGTGTGCTGACATGAACACATGATGTGTCGCTTCGTAGTAGTATAGCAAGTATTGGACACTCATGCCACATGTACGTCGATATGATGGTCTAAAAGACACAATTCATCTTTTCATCTAGGCAGCAGCCAGGCAGAGGCATCCTCAAACACCCCGAGCTTCTTTGCAATAGTTTCAAACATGTCCTTGGTAGACTGTTCCAAGCTCGTATACTCTAGCCCGAGCGCTTCTTGTGCCGTCACCTGGTCATGCGTATTGAGAGCCTTGATCGCCTCATCACCGCTACCCTCCACGCCCACCGGGGCATTCTTCTTGATGAGCGGGTGATCAGGGTAGTGGGCGTGAAGCACGTCAACCCAGTGTTGGCCCGCAAGCTCCCCACCGCAGACAATGTATCGTTGAGATGCGGCTTGAGGTCTTTCAAGGGCCCTGACATGGGCAATCGCGACTGGGATATTTTAGTTTTGTCTCATATGACAGAAGGAGAGAAGAGAGCACCATCTCTCACGTCGACCCAACCCCCAACGATAGGCACCGGTAAATCCTTCTCTCCCTTCTCTCCAGACACCCAATCCCAGGAAAGCTTAGATGACAAGTTGAGGGAAGCGACGTCTTTGAAATCATGCAATACGGGACCAAAGACCCATGGAGGGTCAATGACGGCGCCCTGCCAGGTCGGTTTATGGACTTCCATAAACTCTTGAAAGACGTCAGTCGTGGCATGTGGCTCAACTTAATGAAGCCTACGCCAAAATGCTTGCTCAGCCTTGACTTTACTGGCCATGTAAGCATGAACACCCCACATGGGGTCGGAGGGAGGGTTGATTTCGATGTACGCCACTGATTGCACATTCCAGTCGGCGCTTGTCTCGCTGCAATCAGGCGTCAGCACAGGGCTTGTGGCCATCATGGGAGACATACTGCCAAGGCTCAGGGTTTTCGGGCCCTCGGAAATTCTGAATGGTAGCGGTGGAAGTGAACACTACGAGTACTGCTGTGACTCCAGGACTGCAAAACCATCAGTGATACCATGGCGTTGATCGCGTCTCGTTACTCACGCATACTTCTGCAAGGCGTACAGCAGCTCGGTGGTACCCTTCACGGCTGGTCCAATAAACTCCCCAGTAACAGTACCTGTCGTGGTACAAGGTGTGGCAGGGTGGATCGCAGCATCGATTCCCTTGACTGCTTCATCCAAAGCTCCATTCTACTCAAGTCAGCCTATCAGTATCATCGTGATACCAAGCGCTCACCTGTTCTGTTCGACGTCTTTGATGATCACATACTCGAAAGGCTGGCCAGGGTAGAGCTTTCTCAGGTATTAACCTTTGGCCGCCGACCTCACCGTACCTCGGACTCTGTAGCCACTGCGAAGCAACTCTTCAGTGATGTGAGCGGCTACAAAGCCAGAGGCGCCGGTGATGAGTACGAGGTCTCCTTTGGCGATTGGGGGCATGTCAAATGGTAGAGTGGATCCGGATCTATCTTGAGCAAGGTCGGATAAGAACCTTGAGGCTTGAAGGGGTGAGTTTCCAAAGACGATGGGAGCATGGCGATAACCATGACAAGCATAAAGCGTCTTATATCTCGGTCTTGAGTGGTAAGAGATCCATGCGGTTGTATCACACACATATGGCGCTTCTGTCAGCTGCGAGTGGGGTAATTGATTGGGTTACCGGTTACGAGGGTAAAGGGTCTTAGCATGGGTGATGGCTCGTTGTTGCTGACTATCCCCCGGTGCATCCGGGTCTCTGCACTTTTTGTTGTCCGTCGTGCAGGCCAAGTGCATCCCGAAGACAGACACAAAGACGACATAGCTCAGTGTAGCTCAGTCAAAGCTCAGTCACCTTCATGCACTCGGGACATCCACGTGCTGCTTACGTCATGCACCAGACGCGTCGGATCCTTTTGAACATGACACGCTCATCAACTCTTTCATTTCACCACAAATTCATCACACCCTATATCTGAAATGCCCGCCCAAACACCCCGGAGAACGACAAGAGACTCGCTCAGAAATCAGGCTACACCGAACTCGGTCCTGTCGCTCCGGGCGTACACCCCCACCACCACCGCCAAATCGGTCACCACATTGACCTGGCTCGGCAAACCTCGCGCCACAGAAGTCCAGAAAGACAAGTCGGTCCGTACATACTACAACGCTTTCGACCGGCTGATATCCTACGGCGGGGGCCATACCCCCAGTCGGAAAAAGAGCAAAAAACAGGACGAGATCAGCCGGTTTACCGTTGGAGATGGCGTACATATCATCACCGAGGCGGGCTTGGCTGTCGGGGTGATAATTGCCTTGTGGGAAGAGGAAGATGCCGAGAAAGACGGAGAAGAAGAGAGTGGCGATGAGTCCGAAGAGGAAGAAGGCACTCGAATGCGTGCCAGGATACATTGGGCGTCAAGCGAAGCCGACCTGCCGAGCGAGATGCGATCTGATCTCAAAACCAGAGAAGTAGGGTCCGAATTTGCTAGAAGCTGTTGAAGCGCTTATGTCTCTCACAGAACGAAGTGTTCATTCAATACTCTCTCAGTCCGAAGACACGCTCCGTGACAGAAGACATCCCTCTTTCAGCTATCCACGCCAACATCCCTATCTTATCCCGAGATACATTCCTTCACCAATATGCCGATGACTTTCAAGAGAAGAGAAAAGGCGGATGGGGTGGCTGGGATATCCACGTAGAGGGTGTCTACTGGTGTGAAAGAGCATTGGACTCTCTTGGGGCAGGGTCGCCCTGTTACTCTTTCGACATTGACGAGTGGCGGGGTAACGGCAAACAATCCGGGGATTGGGGTATCCACGACCTTTCCCTGATTCCACGTACTACAAGCACGGGACATTCTGTAAAAACGAAAAAGGCGGAAGTGGTCGTCGAGTCCGGGGATGAGGGCGAGAGTGATGGCAGCGGAGACAATTTTAAAGCTCAAAGCGAAGACGAAGGCGAAGAAATGGAAGAGGATGAAGGCGACGTCGAGGAAGAGCTCTGTGCACCCCCTTCAAAACGAAGGAAGGTGGCCAAGCCGAAACCCGCCAAGAAACCTAGAGCCGCCCCCGTCAAGCGAACCAAATCTATCCCAGCTCCCAAAGCAGTCAAATCAAAACGAAAAGTTCATCCTCAGACATCGGCATCAGCTCTACCCAGCGAAACCATGGATATCGAAAAGCTGCCCGTGGACCCCTTCGAGAGAGCGTTGAGACTGCTGCATGTTGGGGCTACGCCAGACAGTCTACCATGCCGAGAAGAGGAATTTGTGGATGTATTGAGCAAGGTCGAAGAGGGTGTTGAGAGTGGAGGCGGTGGTTGTCTTTGTGAGTCATTTCTTTGCTGTGCAAGAAGTCTGGCTAAGTCTTTCAAGATATCGCGGGCACGCCTGGTACTGGCAAGACAGCCACAGTCCACGCGGTCGTCAAAGAGCTCAGACGTAAAGCTCAAGACGGCGAGATCCCCGCTTTCTCTTACGTCGAGATCAACGGTCTCAAAATACCTTCACCACAGCATGCCTATACTGTATTATGGGAGGCTATCAGCGGATCGCAAGGGACGAGTGCAAAGACTGCTCTGAGAGGTCTCGAGGGTCATTTCAGCAAAAAGTCTGGAGTCGCGAGAGGGCCGAGAGGGCATACTATGTAAGCAGATATCGAACCGTGTTTGAAACCATGCTGACCTTGTACAAAGCGTCGTCTTGATGGACGAACTCGACCAGCTTTTGACCTCCAAGCAAGACGTCGTTTACAACTTTTTCAATTGGCCCACCATGCGTGACTCTCGCCTCTACGTGATTGCTGTTGCCAATCGTATGGACCTCCCCCAACAGCTCGCAGCCAAGATCAAGTCTCGTCTCGGCTTGCAGAGCATCATGTTTGAGACATACAAGAAAGACCATCTGGTTAGCATCGTGCAGTCGAGGCTTGTGCCGCATCCAAAGGCGCCGAGTCAAGATCCAAAGGTTCTGTTGCCGGATGCGATTGCACTGGCGGCTATAAAGATGGCAGGTACGAACGGTGATGCGCGACGGGTTTTGGATGCTTGTCGAAGAGCGGTGGAGATCGCTATAGAGAATGGCAAGAACCCACAAGCGTCCGTCTCTGGTGCCCCACCCAAACCCCCTGGCCCTCAGCCGGTGACCTCTAGGCAGATGAACGCCGTCCTAAACATCATGTCTTCCTCCCCTACCGCCAAATATATTCAAGCTTGCTCTCTACAGCAAAAAGTCATGCTTGCCGCGGTGGTCCGCTGCGTCATGCGCCAAGGATTGTCCGAAGTATCGTGGAAGAGCGTCAAAGACGACCATGATGCTTTGACGAGAAATCTTCTAGCGGATACAACCACGGGAGAGGCTGGTGTGGCGGCTGACGCAGCTCTACTGTCGAATGCTGAGCTGGCGATCGTGTTGAGCGGTCTGACGAGCTCGCATGCTTTACTGTGCTCGACGAATTTGAGCAAGGGGCTAGATGAAAGAAAGATTGCGTTGGGAATGGAGGTGAGAGAGGTGGGAACGGCTTTGACGAATGAAGGAGACGATTGGAGGAGGGTTATGGCGGGGCTGTAGGCCGATTGGTTTGTCTTGTACCACATCCTATCGAGATGAACCTTGGTTGTCCGTGGGGCTTCCTCGGACTTCTTTCATGACATATCACCATGAATATCACCCCTTCTGCGCTGTTCGTCTTGGACTCAGGTTCAACACCAAGGGAATCCACCCCGTTCAGATTGACGAGACAAGAAACAGCTCAAATCGGGGAATCTGAGAAAGTGAATCGTACATGATGATGCATGATAAAATCGCTCAATTAACATTCTCTATCAGGTTCTCTCGCATAATTCAGCAAAGTAGATATACTATACTTCCACATCCGATGGTTTCTCCGGCTTTATGACTTTCTCTGGCGCTTTCGCGTTACGCCAATACAAGAAAAAGACGGCCAGGGTGTTGAGAATCATCCATCTGAACTGGAACCAGAAAGAAGCCTGTACGTTGGACCAAGTTGCAACACCTCCCGGTTTGAGGGTGAGGAGTCCGGCTTGGATGGTGATACCCAGGGCAGAGCCAACCTGGAGAGATACTTGAAGTATGCCCTCCCCCCTGCCACGCCGCTAGTTTCTGGAGTGACGGATGTCATGACAGTGATGCTAGAGATCGCGTCAGACCATGTCCACCTTGAAGAAAGTTGACTCACTTTGCGGCGATGAAGCTGAGCATCCCGAAGCCACTGCCAATGACGAAGGAAGTGAAGAAGAACTTCCAGTAGCTGCCATGATAGATCTCCCGTTTGGAGTAGATCATGACAACGTACATGAAAGCGGCCACGAGCATACATACCACCAGCGAGGGGGATTCGAGGGCTGCCCAGACGCTGGAGGAGGGGAGGGACGGCAAAGGCAGTGATGATGGCTGAGATGCCTTGAGGGAGGAAGCGGACGGCGGCAATGATTGACGATTCACCGTAAAAGCTGATGAAGCGCTCCATGAGAGGGTGCTGGCTGACCTGCGCTCAAGGTCAGCGGATGAGGCAGTAACGCAACAGCAGAATGGCTCACTGCCCACCATGGGTAGATGCCAATCGCAAACACAATCAAGAGAGTCATGTTTGGTATCTTCCAGAAGCTAGACGGGATGAGAGCATATCCGTCAGAACACTTGGCCTCCCAGAAGAAGAATCTGACAAAGATCGCCCAGCAGAGCAGGAACGGCACCAAGAAGCCAGCCGTCTTCCAGCCCCTCGAGTCACCGAGAGTGATGCCGAGGATGAGAAGAATGATGGAAGAGAGCATCAAAAAACAGCCTACGATATCGAGGCGTTTGAGCTTGTCCTTGTGAGTCAGGAAACCGGTAACACTTGCAAGAGCACCGTTGAGACCAAAAAGCGAGAGGGCTATGTGCATTTATTGGGGGTTGAAGATTGCTGGGATGAGGCGGAAGGGGTAGGCTCGACACAAGCCCCTCGCTCGGACGACGCCAGGGTGGAGGCGGCTGCTACCGAGCCTACGGAAGGGGGATGGTATTTGCACTGCCATCAGCTGTGGACAAATCTGCGAAGGATGCAGCACGAACCGTTGCAGCCCCCGCAATACCGCTCAAAGCCCGAAAGATATCGTAAGGGTATTGGCTCGGGAGGAAAAAGACGATGAGGGCGGTGAGACCGGCCCCAAGAAAACTTCAAGCAAAAACTTGTTTGGCAGAATACAGGTCTGAGACTCGACCCCAAAACATGAGGAAGGAAGCAAACGTGACAGAATAGCTCGTCTAGAATGGCGTGTCAGTGCGTGCAACCACCTCGAGGCATGATACTTACGACGACCCATGAAGAGTTTTCGTATTCAATCTTCAAGTCCCCCTGGATAGAGTCGGTGACGACAAAGAGGCCACAAACAGCAACACCATCGAGATACTGCAGTGTTACTGTTAGATGATATTCAGTATACAAGACATACGACATTACCTGAGCAACACTGAAAATCAATAATAAAAACCATTTGCGCTTCTTGCTCATCGGAATACCCCCAGGTTGAGCTTCTTCATGTTTGGGAAAAGCATCTTCGGACTGAAGGGATGCCGTAGAAGAAGGAGATGCAGGGCCGAACGGAGTGCTCTCTTTGTTGCTCTGATTGAGATCAACGGCTGTCTTGTCATGATCAATGGTGTGGGGGATGGAGGTGGGGGAGACGTAGCTGGTGGCAGTCTCCGTCTGTGCAGACATGTTTGCGTGTCGTGTGGGAAGTCTGTCCGAAACAGCGGCGGTGAGTATCTCGGGCGGGGGATAAGTGACCGGGAGTGCATAGCTGGGCTTTGCTGTATATGCATGGACGGTCTCTCTGGGGCGCAGATGTTGCTGAATCAACACGTTACACCCGCCGAGAATGATTGGTAAGCATAACGCACGCAAAGTTGAACGAAAAAGTTGATTGATAAGCGCGCCACACGCGGCGCGGAAGATGATTGGCCAGCACAGTACTTCTACGGACGGATAACGATATGATATGGCTACTTCTTCGGAGTTCGGGTCCAGGCTTTGAAACGGGAGACATCCAAGGCTCTGCTAGAAAAAAAAAAAAGGTAAGGAGGCAGCTTTTCAGCTGCCGCGGGGCTGCCTCATACATGGTAGTAGAACATCCCACCACGACGACTACTACGGGTGCCCGATGTCGTCGTACTTCGTATACCATCCGAACAAGTTTCGTAAAAACGCACTAGTATCAAGCGACAGCATCTAATCACGCTAGGAGCACCCAGTCCGAGAGACCCCAATAGACCTTGGGCTGCAAACCACTTTTCCGCCTCCGGCAGACAATCTTGGATGAAATCTTCGACCCTCAACGCGATACTCAAAGTGTGACTTGATGTGAGGTGACTACAAATATTGCACGTTCCGGTGGTGCAGTACATGTACACCTCCAAAGCTGACAATACGACAGGCGACGAGGGTTCACTCCGGGGCCTGTCGTGAACATTGAATAGACGACCATGTGAGATCTGCAGCGAAACGCCCCTGACGACTCTCTGCATCTCTAAACAGTCGTGCATGTCAAGACGCTCATCTCGGCGCAGTCAAATGGGGTATACGAGTATGACCCTTTCACAGAAAATGTCCATAGATACAAGTAAAAAGTCACAAACAAAAAAAGAAACGTAGATGTATGAATGCCAAAGATTCTAAAAGATGGTTTGGAGAGCCTCTCCTTCGGGCTTGATACCTCTGGGGGCGGGGGCGACCTATGGAATTGTTAGCAAAGCGTCTTGACAGCAGCTCAACACGACTCACGTTGGCGTTCTTGCCAAAAGTGAATCCAACCCAGTTGTTTCGGTTTCCAATACCCCTCTCTTCGACCGCCTCGACGTCCTTCTGCTTCTTGAACACCTCGGCATACTTGGCCATATCCTCCGGGCTGGAGAAACTGTCAAAGTAACCCACATCGGTCTCACCGTCGAGGACAGGCACGAAGGGTGCCTCGATCTGTCGAAGGCTGCTGAAAGGCAAGGCAGAGAAGAAGGGGAGGGACTGAATGTCCTGGAGAGAGGCGATTCGGTCCTTGGGATGGGCGATGAGCCTGGTGACGGCATCCCAAGCGACGTCTGTGAGGTTGAATGTGAGGTCTTCGGGTCGGTCGTACACTGGTCGGCGGAGGACCCGAGTCCAGTTCTTCAAGTTTGCCCAAGTCTCTTCGGGAGTAGAGCCAGAGAAAGGAGGGAAGCCACAGAGGAACTCGAACAGAATACAACCCAGAGACCAGTAGTCGGCAGAGTACGTGTAGGTCTTGCCGCGAAGAACCTCAGGAGGCATGCTAAAAAGAATCAGAAACATGGTCTCACTGGGCCGGAAGCACTCACTAGTCGGGGGATCCTACGACCGAGTCGGCGTATCGAGGCTCAGTGGCCCTGATGCTCCTGTAGATTGTCCTTCGCTCAAGAGTGCTTCTGAACACAAGGTTCTCGTCCTTGACCTGGTCCAGCTTCTGCTTCATGTCTTCGATCTTCTGGGGATTCAATGAACCGGTGGCAAGACCAAAGTCGGTGAGCTTGACGTGGCCAGTGCCGTCTACCAAAAAGTTCTATAGTCTTGTGAGCCACCCCCTTCCCCCCCCCCGCCGGTCACCGTTCAAGACGTACCTCGGGTTTGAGGTCGCGATGGATGTAACCAAGTTTGTGAAGCTCATTCACGCAGATAAACATTTCAGCCGCATAGAATCGAGCATGCTCCTCCTTCAAGACACCGGAGTTGTTGAGAAGGGTCCGGAAGTCACCGCCGGGCACGTATTCCTGCGAACTCATCAGCTTGGGACAGGGACCTGAGGCTATACTCACCATAGCGAGGTACACATGCTCCTTGTCTTGGAAGGCATATAGCAGGTTGACCAACCAGGGGGTCTTTACAGCTGTCAAGATATCTCTTTCCACCAACACGTGCTTGACTTCGTCCATTTTGGCCAAAGTACCCTTTCGCATCTTTTTGAGGGCACAAATCTCGCCAGTATCGGCTTTGCGGGCAAGGTAGACGGAGCCGTAACCGCCTTGACCGACTTGGGCAATGATCCTGAACTGGTCGATCCTGAGCTTCGTGCGTCGCTTCCGGAGCAGCACACGCTCTCGTCCATTGTAGGAAGAGAGCTCCTTGGCGTACGCCTCGTTGGTGATCTATGCACGTAAGCTTGAATAGCATGCGCATGTATACATACCTGACGAGAGGTGGTATCAGCCTTGAATGTATCGAGTCGCTTCTTTCGGTTGGCAATGTAGCCAAGAAGGTCGACTGTTTAAGAATGAGTAACGCTCGGGCCTCCACGACAAACAACATACAGTAATAATCCAGAAAGTCTGCTCTGGCATTAGCTTTGTTGTAACGAACGAGGGCCGCACTCACAGATTTGAGCGACAGTAGCCTTTCTCCGCACGTCAGGTGTCTCCAACAGCTCCCTCTCCCACAGCTGCAGACCCCTCTCCTTTTCATGTCGCGTATCGTGCCTCGCAGTCTTCATCTGTACGTCATCGGCCTGGTATGCACCGCCTCGCTGGCCCGCGTAAGCGTTGGTAGGAGCGTAGGGCTTTTGGACAGGCGCAGGAGGACCCATAGAGGCGGGGGAGGATGTTTGCGAGCTCTGAGGGGTGCTGGCGAGCTGCTTGAGCACGGCGGGGTTGACAGTGTTCTTCATGGTCATCATGTGGATGTCGTCCGACTCTCGCTGCTGGTAAGCAGAGTGTCTCTCTTCTCGCTGCGCAGCAACAGCTTGCCCATGGTGTGATTGTCCAGGGTTGGGTGCGGCAGGAGCAGGAGCAGTCTTGTTGACCTTGACCGGTGTTGAGGGGGTGCCAGCCTGACTCTGAGCAAACAAGAAGGAGAGGTAGTTGGATCGCTCGTTGTTGGCCTGGGAGGGGGAGGGTGGGACCGAGTCGCGGTTCTCCTTGGATCCTGTGTTGAGGAATGAGGAGCGGGAGGTGGGGGTGGAGGGGACGGGGATCTTGGAGGGGGAGGGGGGGTTGGTGGTGGACTGGGACTTGGAGTGGCCCGAGCGGGACGACTTGGAGGGGGAGGGGGGTGCCGGGGGGGGCTGCTGCTGCGAGTTTGTGGACTTGAGCACGCGGGAGAACATGGCGGGGATGGACAAGAGAAAGAGAAAGAGAGAAAGAAAGAGAAAGAGAGCGCGCCTGCCTTTGTTTACTTGTTTGCCTGGCTCGCCGGCGTTACGTAACGGGAGAAACACGCAGAAACAACACAAAATAATACGCGTCTCCTTTTCGTGTTGTTTGGAACCAAACACTCTCTCTTTCATCTCCACGCAAACATACATCTAGTCCACCATGGCCCCGTCGTCATACATCGCTTCAAACAGACCGACATCTCTGCAGAATCTCCTCGACACATCAACGTCCAAGAACGGCACACCGTCGCTGGATCTCAGATGGGAACCGTTTCAGCAACACGTCGAAAACTTCTTGACAGCCATCGATGCGTATACCCAATCCGCCAGGACAGAGATCGTAGCTCGAGCAACCGATCACTATGCTACCGTGCGCGATAAGAAGGCAGAAATGGAGGAAACGGAGAAGAGAATCCAGCTGGAGAGGGAGAAGGAAGGAGACATGTTGACGAGTGAGTTTGTTTCTGCAAACATTGGCGGTATGCTGACTCGGGCAGCTCTCGAGTCCGAAAGACATGTCCTGGCCGACCTCAACTCTTCACTATCACATCTGCAGAATAGCTTGACCAAGACAAAAGAGCAATCATCATCTCTCGAGGCGGAACTGCAGGCTCTCAGGAAAGAAGTCAGATCGGAAGAGACCGAGAAAGAGAGGCAGAAGAACATGCTGAATGATATGAGGGACAGGGATACTGTGGAACTGAAACAGATGGAGGAGGCGCTAGGATGGAAAGTGGAAGGCATCAAGGGCACGTTTGTCAGCGATCGTGCCACAGTAACCCTTCTGACAATCTTGTAGCTGATCAGCTACTCATGCGATTCTACCTGATCGACCCCGATGATCCTGCTAAGGAATTTTCATTCATCGTCGATGTTTCAAAACAAGACTATACAGGTGAGCTTTTTCTACCCGAACCGCGATAGACACCTGACGATAGTAGTGCCCAACTGTGACCCTCCCATCCCCACTTTGCCCCAACTCGTGCGGCAGCTCAACGAGGATCGAGATCTCTTCTCTTTCATCAAGAAAGGTACACGGTCTCCTTTTTTCTTTGGCAATATCACTGACATGTATCCCAGTCCGCAAGTCTTTCCGTGCGCTCATCCCCAACCCACCAAATCCATCCACCAAATTTGATGACCTCTCTGGTCCTGGGCTCGGCCTTCGTACACCAGGGCGTAGCCAGAGAACATTGTCCTCTACAACACCGGCGGCTGCTAGAGATGTGACCGAGGGATTGGCTTTAGATCATTTGACCCTGGGAAAGTTATGGGAAGCGTAGCCAACCTGTTCGGTGTACCTGTATAGTTTTGTTTCCGGGCTTAGTAGATGTTTCTTTCCTCGCCTTATATTTCTTGACGACCATGGTCAATGCACGTTGTATAGTAGTTACAAAACGAGGTCTTGCCATACATATCGATCAAGCATCGCATCAATCCATGAGCTTCTGCGCTGGACTTGTTATGGTCCTTTTCGTTCAACTATTCGCTACTTCTACAAACCATAGGCACATAAACACAATCTACCCAGCCCCGCTGTCAGCTACATTCTCTAAAGAAGTTGTTCGAGTCACTTTACGGGAAGAGTCAGCTCTCAAGACTCCGTCAGGCTTGGACTGCTAGTCTCACGTTTGTTTCGACGGCGGCCTGGGCTCTCTCGGGTATGGCGGCATGGACCTGCGAGATATCTCATAAGCTTTCGAGTATGTTGAAGGGAAGAATTTCTAACCTGGGCGTGATCTGGCCTGGGCAATCTGGTATAGGAAGAAGCATTGTCGACGTCCATTTGACTGCTCTTGCTCCAGGACCCTGACGTCCCCACCGTTGCTCTGATGGAGGAACCATCATCGTCAGATCCCGCTTCAGACACTTCGTCGAGCTGAACATCCTTGAAGTCGATCTCTAGCAGATGACTTTGATCTTCCTCATCGTCGATCATAGCGCTGTCTAGAGTGTGATATTGGTATGCTGGGGGTCTTTCAGTTGGGGATGGTTCTCTGTTAACGCTTCCAACCCTCTCCAGCTTTCTTCCTCTATGCTCGTCGTCCTCTTCCCCTGGCGCTTCCTCGTAATGTTCATCCTCCATCTCATCCTCTCGCATCTGCATCTGCTGCGCCTGGGCTTGAGCCTGAGCCTGAGCCCGGGCCCAGCCACCCATCATATACGCTTCAAAAGCTTCCTTTACCCTCTCGCAGTACGCACCCAACCTTTCTCCACCGATCCTTTCACACGCTACTCGGCGCACGCGGCTCACATGGCGGTGAACCCGCTCGGCGTAGCCTGGTGGGGACGAGGAAGAGTTGAGCGGATGTGAGAGAGCGTGGATTTCAGAGATGACGAGAAGCTCGAGAAAATGGCGGTCCAGTCGAGGGTACCAGCCTCTTCCTTGTCGCAGGGGTGCCTCCGTCTTTTCCCACTTGCTCCACATCTCTGCATCCGGCAATACTTCCTGTAGGCCACAGTCAGTATACTCAATTGGAGGCACAAGTGCAACGTACCGCCATGATAGTCTGCTGCCGCAGCTCTTCTTCATATGCCATGTCGTACATGTTCACGATTCCGTCTGCTTGTCCGTCGTTATCCAAGTCGCTAAAGTCTGATTCTCGAACAGGAGCCTGATTATCCTTTGCTTGTACGCTATAGCCGAAAAGACAGATGGAGAGACTATCCTTGATTTCCTTTTCTTTTTCTGTGGGGCGATGCTGTCGCCTAGTGTTGCCCAATCGCTTGACTCGGTTTGTGCTTGCAAAAAGTCCTCTGGTACGTCCAAAAGCAGGCCTTACACGGGAAGTGAGAGGAGCCGAGGCGGAGGGAACGATACGGCTTGAGCGTTTGCGTTTGAGTAGACTATGAGGTGACTGTGGCCGGATATCTCGCATTGGCTTCCGCCAGCACAGCGGGCGGTGTAATCTTTTTGGAACGGCTTGGGCCTTTCGGGGGGCCGTAGAGAGGTCGGAATGCCCGGCAGTTGCGGAGTGTCCTTTTCCGGATGGCTGCAGATAAGCTATTGTTAGCATCGAGGCATTGCAGCATGCGCTCCCGGACTGACTTTTGATCTGGGTGCTATACAAAGATACCTTAATTGAACACCTTTTGAGCGGTCTGCGAATGATTATTCCCAAAGAGAATGGCGAGTGGGGGGTGATTTGATAAAGACTCTTAATAGGCGGTTTGACACTCTTGTTTAGAGATACCAGGCAGAGCAGGTGACAAAGCTGGGGGTCGCTCGTGAAAGGTTGTGGCAAGAGAACAACAGCAAGGCTTGTGAGACGTTCCATCTCACGGTCCTAGTTATATGACTCTCAATGTCAGCAAAGGAAGTGTCTTTGGTGGGTCAAAGGTTACACGGAGAAAGGGTCTCTGATTCTGGGATAGGAGGGGAGAATGTGGAAAGGAAGGTTGCGTCTGTTGAAAGGTGCCGCGTCGGTAGCGCGAAAAGGCTATAGCCTCAAATGGTCCTGACTCTGCCGTCCTTTTAAACCTTCGTTCCGGGAATTGCGCAGATGCCCTATTAGTGTGGCGCTTGAGATGAGAGTCTTGCTGGAGCGAGAGTTGGTGGCCTGTACATGGAAGTTACGGAAGCTTCTAGTATAGGTTTGCGTTATACAATTGTCTAGGACGTCCGCCTGAATATGGAATACATGTCTGCTAGATCTGGTATCAGAAGAATAACTGAGATGACAGAGGACCAACTTGCCGTTTTCTTCGCCCAGCTCACTCTCCATCAATTTCGATATCCCCGTCAAAGTTGACTCTGCCCTTCTTGACCTTTTCACCCTTTGCTCGCAAAAGATCTTCTACGGTCTTGAGCTTGCCATCTTCAAGGCTCTCCTATACGGCTATCAGTATGTCTCTCTAACATCATCACAAGTTCATGACATACTTTAAACCATCCCAAATGATCCGCTATCAGATGCCTGGACCCTCGATTAGCATGCTTGATAAACCCCGACCACATCCTCAGACTCACCTGTTCTTACACTCCGGGCACTGTACAAGGACGATTCCTTTTTCGTAACTTCTCTTTGCAAATTCATGGGTCGACCTATGTCCACATCCATCCGCCGTGCAAGTGAAGGTCATCTGTCTGGCATCGATGTGAGTCAGCTCCGAGCGGGGACATCTATCTGCCTGGAGCCACCCACAGTCTTGGTTCTATTTGAGCAATCTTCTGAGGCCTGCTTCCTGGAAGGGGCGCTTCAATAGCAGGGTTGTGGTTGGCAGAAGAGTTCCATCGTCGAAAGATGGCCTCCCTCGGCCGGAGCTGCTGAAGAGCCGCCTGTCGAGGGAAAGCAACCACTCGACTGGAAGAAGGGAGGGAGCGAGCAGATCTTACGAGGGATGTTCTGAGGGCAGACATCTTATGAGACGGCTTGTTTGTTGAAAGTATATGGATTGCTTCGTTCGTCATTCTCGAACATTTCTGGTTGCCCCGGTTGCCACCGCCGCCGGCGACCTGCAGAAGTGGAGGCTTACGTAACATTGGGCTGTCCCTTGCAAGCTTCTTTTTGGCATCACATGCACAAGAAGGATATTTGTGATGGCAGCGGCAGCTTGAAGGGCTTCAGACCGAGTCCTCTAGCTACATAGTGCCTATCTGAGGGGTTGATGCGGTCAAGTCAACGTTGTTCGGTAATCGCGTCGGCCATTCGGATGATTCCGTCGTTTTTGTTTTTGTTTTTGCGCGCCGAATTGAACATTCGTCGTTTTCACTCAATACCACCATACTTGATCTTTGCCACCTACACTTCTCCCTTCGTCACGTCGTCCCTCTTTGACCAGATCAGTTCATAATGCACGCCCTCCTTGGAAGTCCCGAAAAGCAACTAGGTACGCTCGCCATCTATCCGTCATGATCAAAGCTCATTTCATCGCCCTCTCATTGTAACTCTGCTACGCATGGCCTCTTGCCACTTCACTACACAATCTGACAGTTTGCGCCGAGTTTATCAAAGCTCTCGAGGACTGTCACGCCCAAGGCCTCTTAGCCAAAGTCACCGGCCAATGTAATAAACCCAAGATGATTCTGAACGACTGCTTGCGTGAAGAGGTATGTCTGCTTGCACCAAGCTGAGCTCAACAAATAGAGGGAAGCTATATGTAAAGCTTGCTGACGGACAGAGTAGCGTATAGAACGAACGACGAGGAATAGAGACGAGGCGAAAGAGAGGAACGCGAGGAAGAAGGCCGTTTGGGAAGCGTTGGAGAGGGAGAAGGCTGAGGAGAAGGCCATCTGAGTCTTGACCAGTCAGTGAGTGTCATTGGGCGCCGGGGGATGAGGCTGGGAGATGTTGGAGCTGGGGTCGATCGGGCTTTTACGTTTTTGGTACGTCTTCTCGTGGTATACATATACGTAAAGGGGATTGCTGATGATCGTTACAGTCTGTCTATTTGTAACACTACCCGCATTGTCATTTCGCCTCTCAATCTTGTCATTTATGCATCGCATGGACTTCAGTAGAGGAGTAGAGGAGTCTCACCAGCTTTGTCTCGCAAGAGCAAGTCATTGCAGACCAGAAAAGTTGTCGATTGTGACGGGCAGATAGGAACCGCCGACCTATCGGTGCAGAACTTGCACTTGCAACGCCTCTTCTATACAAGACTAATGCTCCTGGCCTCCTGGTGGTACTCTTGGAGTAAGTCATTGATGCAGACTACTTTGCACCGCGCTCAACTTCTGCGATCACTATTAGCCCGGCCTTTCGAATGATGTATCCTATGAGCTGTTGTGATGCGATAAACACGACATGTTGAGCTGTCTCACCGTCACAGATCACCACGGTGAGGCTAGCAATGGTCACTCGAGTCCTTTTGGTATCGGTCAAGATGCAAAGATGGTAAATTGGTCTAGACTATGTGCGCAACCAGAGCTTCCATGTACTGTGAGCAGTTGAAACACGGAATTCCTACCTCTAGCGACCCTCAAATACGGCGTTCTCGATGACGAAGACGGGCGTGGATCATGGCCCCTAGATGCGGAGGGTGAGGTTTCAGGCGGGGAAGGCGAGGATTGAAGAGGGTGGGACGCAGGAAGCCGACGATACGGGGACGAGGGCGCCGGGGTTTGGCGGCTTGACCCTCAGCTATGCTCGGCACGAGACAGGGTGAAGACAAGACAATCGCATGGTACTTGTACACTGCCACAGACAACAGATCCACCGAGCAGCTGAGCTTGGCCGACAATTGCAAGATCTCCAAATTCCGACGAGTGCGTAAGGTCCGGGGTCCCAATATGTATCCAGCTTCTCCAGGAAGCAGTGCAGGTACGATCATGCATAGGCCTCTAATCGGTCACGACTCCTTTCTGTCCGCAATCTTCCACGCTGATCGTCACCGTGTGGCGTTGAGTGGATGTTTACTGCCGCCCATCTTCTCTTTCATCTCTGTCCATCATCTACCAGCTGGAGACTGTGCAGAACACCTTGCCAAGACAGACTGACATTAGTTCAAGGTTGAACTGAGCGAACAAGCAGGGGCCATGTCGAGCAACAATCGATGGTGATCAAGCAGTGATCAAGCCATGAAGGATGGATGGCCGGCCTGCCGGTCGCTCGGGCGTGGGCAACATGCGCATCTCACGCGGCCAGACCGAACGGGCACCTGCCATGCCAAGCTGTGCTCACTACTGACACGATGTGCCCAAGAGATGCAGCTGCAGGAGAGGAGAGTGGAGAGTGGCCAGAGGCCGCTGCAAGACGCGCAAGACGGACGCCGAAGAGTCAAACAAACATAAAAGCCCAGGCGGGGTAGGCCGCTAGCACTGGTCTCAGGAGCAGCGGGGGGTCTACCGCCCTGAGGCCCTGAGGGGGTGTCCTGGCTGAACTCTGCCTGCGAAAAAGAGGCGAGACAGAGGGGCGGGACACGCGGGCGGACATGGGACACAAGGGTGCGCTATGCTGAGCTTGTTGCGAGAGCGGTTGAGCCAAGCAGACACGGCTGTGCATGCACGCGTATAGTATAGAGATTCGCATCCTCGTGTTTATCTTTTCACTCTTCGCTTCTCCAAATCTCAGCCACGCCCATCCCTTCTTGACGGCTCCTTCCACCCAGGTCTTTCTTTCCAACCCCGCCAGCTATACATATATCCCCCGCTCTTTCACCCTCTCATCACAAAACAGCGCACCATGCTCGCCCAAGCAGCCCTCGCGCTCCTCCCCCTCCTCTCCCTCCCCGCCCTCGCCATCGACGCTGACGCTATGCGTTCGCGCTCCGTCTACCAAGTCATCACAGACCGTTTCGCCCGTGCTACTGGCTCCACCGGCGCCTGTGTCGAAGCCGACCGCAGTTACTGCGGCGGTACATGGTCTGCCATCACCGACCATCTCGACTACATCCAAGGTATGGGTTTCGACACCGTCTGGATTTCCCCCGTCGTCGACAACATTGGCGATGAGACGGGCGAGGGCGAGGCGTACCACGGTTACTGGACACTCAACCCCAACTCTCTCAACTCCAACTTTGGTACCGCCGACGACCTCAGGGCGCTGAGTACGGCCCTCCATGACAGGGGCATGTACCTCCAGGTCGATCTCGTTGTTAACCACGTGGCTGCTACTTCCAGCTCTACCTTCTCCCCCAGCGACTCTTACGGTCCTTTCAGCACCAACTCTACCATCCACCCCTTCTGCTGGATTGAAGACTACAAGTGAGTCTGTTTTTCTGCGGGCCGAGGCTATACTGACGCGTCAAACAGCAACCAGACCAACGTCGAGCAATGCTGGCTCGGTGACGACTCCGTCGCCCTTGTCGACTTGAACACTGAGGACGAGTCGGTGACTTCCTACTGGAACACTTGGGTTAGAGACCTCGTCTCCAACTATACAATCGACGCTATCCGAATTGACACTGTCAAGCACATCCGTGTCGACTTCTGGCCCGACTTTGTCAACGCCGCTGGTGTCTTTAACCAGGGTGAAGTCCTTCTCGGTGACGCCGACTACGTGGCCAACTACCAGAACAACGGCAATGTCAACCCGTTCAACTATCCCGTCTACTACCCTCTCATCTCTGCTTTCAACGGTACCAACCAAGACTTTACCTCGCTTGTCGACATGGTTGCCACTGTCAAGAGCAACTTTAGCGACCCCACCTTGCTTGGTTCTTTCCTCGACAACCATGACAACCCCAGGTTTGGAAGCTACCAGAGCGACACTTCGGTGAGTACTTGTCGTTTGTTAGTGCAATGTCGGAGGCTGATAATCTCTCTAGTTGATCAAGAACGCCCATGCTTACCCTCTCGTCACTGACGGTATTCCTTACGTCTACTGTGAGTGATCCGTGTTCCGCATGGAAATGCCGCTGACGTGCTACAGACGGTTCCGAGGCTGGGTTTGACGGTGGTGCCGACCCTCTCAACCGAGAGCCTCTCTGGACCAGCAACTACGACACCACCACCAGCATGTACGGCTTCTTTACTGCTTTGAACGGTGCCCGTACCGCTGCGGCCAACGCCTCCAGCTCGTTCTACACCGACCAGGTGCGTCCTTCCCACGCCTCTCTGTTCAAAACTAACTTTTCTACAGATGACCGTGTCCAGGCTCTCCGACACTTCCATTCTCATCGCCAAGCAGCCCCTCATCTCTGTCCTCTCCAACTCTGGCGCTTCCGCCTCCAACGCCACCGTCACTGTCGACACCTCTGCCTCTGGCTGGGCTGCCTCTACCTCTATCGTCGACACTATCACTTGCGAGGCATTTACCACTGACGCCAGCGGTAACCTTGATGTCGTCATCTACAGGGGCTTGCCCCGAGTCATGATTGAGAGCAGCAGCAAGGGCGCTCTGTGCGGCAGCAACTCTGTGGACAGCAGCTCGAGCAGCGACTCTGCTGCTGGTCTCACCGCGGCTGTTGGCGGCTGGGCCGTCGCTGCCGGTGTCGCTGTGGCCGGTTTGCAGGTCCTTCTGTGAGGATAGAGCAGAGACTGTTTATAGATGCGTTGAGACGATAAGAAGTATATTCACAATCCCCCCTTCCCCTCCTAGTATAACGAATTGCAGCGTTACGTACGAGACGAGTTTAGCTTTCAGACATCTGGTTTTTCCTCATATTCTATATACGAGGGATACCCCTTTCGTTTTATGGACACTATGTAGCTACATGGCTACGATAATTGGTATACTTGCTGGAGGGTTGTGAGACTATCCATCGCAGACGGTACTGGAGTGCGTTATATTCTGCCAAGGATTCCAGTGTCAAGTACGTATGCCATCGAAGATGACCACCACAGATTCATGCTCCTGATCGGAATCGTCTTGCTCAGGGAAAGGCGATTCCAGAACTCGGCCGTGGCGGCCCTGTTGCGATGAATCCTGGGATGGTATTCCGGTGAAAACTCGTGGGGGATTCTTGACCGACTCTGTCCTTGCGCTACCCAAGGTCTCATGACCCCCCCGGACAGTACCGGCGGTATGAGAGTGAGCCCCGGACATGGTGCGGGGAAGGGCGTGCCTGGGTACTCGTAAAGAGGGTCCTAGGGGTTGTCGACCGGCACTGGAGGCAGAGCAACCGGGATGTATGGGATGGCCTTCTCTCTGTGGCTGAGGGCGACGTGGAAGCGAGGAGATGCATGCAGAGGATAGCGGTATGGCAGTTTGCTGATGCTCCCCCGCAGATAATCGCCACGTGCCGGCGCTCCACCCCACCGCATCTCCCATTTCCTCCTTCTTTCTTCTCTCCATACAATACACCATGTCAGCCCCCATCTCCATCGCCAACGACACCCACCACTCCCCCTCGTCCTCTGCCTCCCTCTCCCCCCAGACGCCCTTCTTCCCCACCCCCGCCCTCTCCTCTTCCGCCACCCCGAACCAGCCCGGATCGCTCTTCAAGTGGGCCAGCTCCTTTGGCAAGTCGCCCCCTCCTGCCCAGTTTGCCAGTGGAAGCTTCACCTCCCGAGAGGGTATCGGGAAGGAGATGGGCACGGGCATCCCAGAGCACGACGGCGAGCACAGCGACAATTTCGAGTTTGGAGACTTTAACGACACTGGGAACAGCGGAAGCTGGGTGAAGGGGAGACGGGCAATGTCTATGAGCATGCCGTATGGTGCGCAGAGTGGCGTGGGGGCCATGCTCAAGAACAACGGGTACTCGCCCAACGAGCAAAAGGAGACGCCTTTTGATGCGGACAAGGATAGCAAGGGGCAGGGGGTGTTGCGCAGGTTGAGCATCGGAGGGTATCGGGCAAGTCCCTTCTCCTTCGCCACCTAAGCCATACTGACATCGTGATAGCCCCCTTTCATAAGCCCTCCTACTCAGAACACACACCTCCCGCCCACCGAGCTTCCGGCCTCTTCCAGCCTCCCTCCTCCCCCCGCCTCTACTCCGTCTGGAGCCGAGGGGCCGTCCGAGATCAAGCGGTCGGCTGCCTTGGGAGGCAATGCTCATGCGAGAGGGAGGAGGTTCTCGGAAAGCCAAGGAAACAGGAAGAAGGGAGTCTCCCCTGTGAGTATTCCGGAATATTCCGCCTCGGTCATGTCACGGAATGGAGACTGACTATGTTGCTAGATGGGAGAGAGAATCCTCCGTGAGCATGGCCACTTTTGAGCGGCTGCTTTGAGCTTGTCTCTGTCAACGCACGTGCATTACTACATGCCTAACGAACAATCAACAATCAACAAAATCCACAATATTGTACAATTATTCCGCGACCGCTCTGTAACAATAGCAGCATCGGATGTTTTGTAAAAGAGGCGATGTAGTGGGAAGCTGCCATTGTAGCTGTAGGAAGGAAAGAGAAGAGGGAATGATGCTAAAATCCAAACCCACAAAAACGTTGAATTCTTGGTATGCCTTGTAGATGTATATGTATTATATCCCAGCAACTCTCCTACAAGTGTCTGGGTAGGCGCTTCATGAGTTCGGCGAGACCATGCCAGATGCTGGAGCGGATCCGAGTACAATACGTGGAGCGCCACTGCGCCACGTTGGATGAAGGAGGCAATGGACGGAGTCGCGGGGGGCTTTCTCCACGTCGCGTCTATCATCATTGACTCTGCAGTTGCATCTCAAACTTGCGCTGCCCAGGACTATACGGACTATACATAGGAATACAGGAAATATAGGGACTGCCTTAGCGACCACCAGAGACCACACTCCCCCATCATGTCCTACAGCCAAGTCCCCGCCGAGAACCACCAGTTCATGCAAGTCCCCTCGGCCACTACCTACGCCAAACCTACGCAACTCGCTCACACTCCCATAGCCAAGCAGACGACGACGACCTCGATGCTTTATCCTTCTCCCATCCCAACCCCTCCGGCCCTTCCCAGGCAGCATCATCCTTTACCCCCCAACCACCGCCCCTCCAGAGCAGTCCGCATCCGTCGGGCGTGTCTGGCAAGATCGGGCAGAGCGGCACTGGAGGAAGAGCGGGACAGACGTCGACTGGATGGGGAGGCGTGAGGACCGAGACGAGGTTCACCGGAGAGTCTACGTTGGACGAGCCTGTTTCCGAGACCATCGTAGGCCCCCTTGTACTCGTCTGGTTCAATGCTGATATCTTGTAGATGCGTGATCTGAGGTCCATCTATGCTAAGCTCATACTCATCCTGTACCCGCCAAAAGGAGGCAACCACCAGCTCTTGCGAGATTGGGATCTGTGGGGACCTTTGGTCATTTGCCTGTCGCTCGCCATCATCCTCTCGATGGACGCTCCGGGAGAAGAGTCGATGCAGGTATTCAGCTTGGTGATCACACTCATCACTGTGGGGTCTGTGGTGGTCACCGTCAATTCCAAGCTTCTGGGTGGTAAAGTATCATTCTTCCAGAGTCTGGTGAGTTTGTGCGGTGGGATGTAGATACAAGCTGACTGGCAGCAGTGTGTCTTGGGCTATGCTTTGGCACCAATCTTGATCGCCTCTATCGTCGCCTTTTTCGTGCACAACATCTTTGTCCGGCTGCCAGTCACGCTGGCATGTTGGGCGTGGTCCGTATGGGGTGAGTCGTCCACAAAAGCCAAGGAAAACATTGACATGGCTGTAGCTTCAATGAACTTTTTCAACGGCACCCAGCTCCCAGAGAGCCGCCTCTTCCTCGCCGTCTATCCCATGTGCTTGTTCTTCTTTGTCATTTCGTGGATGATCATCATCCAATAACCACCTGTACCTATACGTCCCATAGAAATCGAAGGCGTACCAGAGCTTCGTGACAGCTATGCATACAACAGAGGCTCTATACAGCAGGGGTATCATATAATCGTTACAAATCGTGGGAAACAGTTCTAGGTGTCGAGCTTGTCACTGCGTTCGGGGTCGCCGTCGTTGACACGCAGGACCTTGGCAAATTCGGGATAGTCGAATCGCCCTTGTCTATCTGTAAAGGGACCAGAGAATAGTCTTTCGATCTGGCCCGTCGTCAGCTCCACCTCTTGCTTTGTCGTCTACACACCTCTTGATCGTCCATTCTGTCTCCCATATCCCCCAGATACTTTCGCATCTCCTTGACATCCACCCACCCCTTATCGCCATCGTCGAAACACGCGAAAGCTTCTTTCAGTTCCTGTTCCGGGTCGAGCTGGATGAGATGTTCGCCCATCATGGAGAGGAATTGGGTAAAGTTGACGCCGTCCGCAGACTTGCCGGGGGTCGTGGAAGAGCCGGGACGGGAAGTCAGGAGAGAGTGGAGGAGGTCTGGCGTGGGTGTTTGGCCTGTCGCCCGTCAGCATGCGGTCGTCTACACAAAGTAAGACGTACCGAGATTACTCAGCATGGTCTTCAGGTCGTCCTCAGTCACTTTGCCATCCCCGTCTTGGTCGATCATCATGAATGCCTCTTTGAACTGCTTCACCTGGGAGGGAGTAAACATGGTGTAGGCGCCGCCGGAGGGTTCCCGGCGGGCCTGGGAGGACTTTTTGAGCTGTGAGGGGAGACCCTTGCCGAGAGTTGGTTTGGACATGGAGGGTGTCGTGGAGAGGTGAGGCCTGAGGGAGAACGAATGCATGATGTTGTTGATTTCCGGGCCAGCGACGCGTCCTGTTACGTAAAGCAATCCGTGGCTAGAAAACTCGATCAAAACTTCTTGATCAAAACTTTTGCAAAAGTCTCTCTTTCTTTCGTCATCCGGCTCGAAACCCCCCTCTCTTCCTGGTAAGTCCGTCTCCACCTCACCCTTCATGACTTGCTGTTATGATGTCTACAATCTTATCTACATTGTCAGAACCTACATGTTTGACAATCATTTTTCCATATATATCTGAACTCTCTTCTCTTGTCAAGTTATCGAAGCATGCGAATCAGCGCTAACCTGTTGTACAGTGACCATCATTGTTCAAAACCCGGTACTCTTGTATCGTACGCCCCATTCCATAGAACTCATAGCCCGTACATATGCTTATGGATATCATGCCCCTCCTTCAGAACACGAGCCATCATGAACTTTTACAAGTCGGCTGCACTCGCTTTGGATCACCTGGAGAAGAATCAAGGGTCTGTCAAGGGATCACTGGCTGCTGCCGGGGTCAATGCCGTTGGTGGGGAAGCAAAGAGGATTTTGGCTCGTGAGTATGAAAGTTGGATGGCAGGAAACTCGAGCTGATGGATGGTAGTGATCATCGAGACTCTGAAATGTAAGCTCCCAGCCAGGTCGGGCCCACCATCTAACATCTTTCAGACCGCCCTGTGCTCCTTCAACTACTCACCACCGTACCCATCCTCTCGCTCGAAAAGCTTACATTCCCGCGCAAAACGCCCTTCCGCGCCCCCTCCTCCCAAAGCCTCGTTCTCGTCCTCTTGCATGACCTCCTGTTCTCCCCCCGCACGCGGATAGAAGCGTCCGACAAATGGCCGCCCAAGCCTGCTGTGATGCGCCATCAAGCGAGGCTTAAAGCCGAGCTGGTGCGGATCCAGATCAAGGAAGGCAAAGGCCGAAAAGAAGACCTGGCCAAGACTGCAGGGGACGGGGAGGCTGTGCGGTATGTGAGGTTCAACCCTAACGCTGGGAGGACTCTCGAAGAGCTGTCTGAACATTTGACGAAGAAGGGGTATGAGAGGCTGGAAGAGGCGGTATACCCCGTGCCGGAGGGCAAGTACTTTGCAGACCCTCATCTGCCAGAGGTGCTGTTTGCTTTCCCGGGCAACTCGAATTGGTGGGTAGGAGACGAGTGGTATGAGGGCGGTGGGGCGATCTTGCAAGATAAGGCGAGTTGTATGCCTGCGAGAGTGTTGATGGAGGAGTGGGTGGAAGGCGAGGGAGAGTGTTTGGATGCTACGTAAGTCGACAGTCGGCTGATGGGCAATGGGCTGAACGAGCGCAGGGCTGCACCGGGAAACAAGACTAGCTACGTCTCGGCTTTGATGAGCAACAAGGGCAAGGTATGTATATATCTACATCGGTGGATCAGACTGACACTGTACCAGCTGCACGCGTTCGAACGCTCCCCCAACCGCTTCAAGACGTTGGAAAAGATGCTGGCAAAAGCCAAATGTACCAACGTCAAGGCCCAGCGTGCCGACTTTACCGACTCTGACCCCAAGAGCAAGGAATTCAAGAACGTTACCAGAATGTTTGTCGTGCATGCGCTTGTAAAGGATCGACGTGCTGATGGCCTAGACTCAGATTGCTGGATCCCAGTTGTTCTGGATCGGGTATTGTGAATAGGCTGGACTATCTCGTGGACGACGGTACGCGCGTGTCAGCCTTTGGGAAGCCTCGCTGATCGATTCTAGACACGGAAGAGTCCGATTCCAAGAATGAGCGCCTGGAGAAGCTGGCCGGTTTCCAGCTGCAGATGATCCTCCATGCCTTCAAATGTGAGCCCACTAGGATTCTTTGTGCATAGCTGACGCCGATCAGTCCCTAATGTAAATCGCATCGTCTACTCGACTTGCTCGATACACGCAGAGGAGGACGAGCGTGTCGTGATGTCTGCGTTGCAGTCTGGTATCGCCAAGGAACGCGGCTGGGGTCTGGCCAGGCGGGCTGGGGTGATTCCGAGCTGGGAAAGGCGAGGGCGACCGGAGGAGACTGGTGGCAATGAGGGTGAGTCGTCGTTGAGCGATAGAGCAAAGGCTAATGGGATGGCAGACCTGGCAGAAAGTGTGATTCGATGCCTTCCTGAGGACAAGACGAACGGATTCTTTGTGTCTTGTTTTGTGCGCAACGGTCTTCGGCCCGAAGATGGGGTGACAAGGGATCAGCGGCCCAGCAAACGTTCGCGTGATGAGATCGAGCCAGTGGCTGAGGACGCGCCAGCTGAGGGAGGAGATGAGGCTGAAGATGGAGATGAAAGGGGCAAGAAATCGAAGACGGAGGCGCAGGTGGAGCGAGCAAGACGGAAGAAGCAGCTGCAGAAGGCCAAGAAACGCAAGACGGGGAAGTAATCGATGCATAGTTTGGTTCCAGTGCCATCTCCTGGTCACGCGAGCAGCCCACGGCCACTATCTCCCATGTCCCATCAATCCCATACAGCATGCCCGACCAAGTCGCAGATCACCCCCTGCCTGCGATTGGCTGTATACACTGCATGCGCGCCGGTGGATGAAAAGAGTGTCCTTTGAGGAGATGCCACGCGTCGCACCGTCTCCTTACACACCCTCCCCCACCCTCTTCCTTTTCCGCCACCGCCATCTCCCTTATCCACCATCACTCGCCCGACCATACACTGCAACACACGCACATTCCGACCATCTTTTATGCTCTCCCTATCGCACTCCGGAGATAGGAACGAGATGATGCAACCGTCCTGCCCCACTGACCTGTGAAAGGATCCACTCACCCGCTCGTCACTCGTCGGCTTGTAGATGCAGATATAAAAGAGCCGCCATGGCATCCCATTCTCTCTCTCTCTACCAACTTCTTTCAGACTCAGCCACTCATCTGCTATACTATCTGACACACTTGAACTCAAATTGCCCATCACAATGTCTTCTTGCAAAGTAAGTCGCGAGTCATATCGAGTGGCCAAACGCTGACGCCATCCCCAATAGCTTTGCCACGGTCCTCTTGCCCCTTCTGCCTCTATCAAGAAGCCACTCGAGTGCCATGCCACTGTACGTCCCCTCTACTACCACGTCTCCGTATGCTGACCCTCTGTAGTGCATCCAGTTCGCTTGCCCCGGCTGTGTAAAGGCCAACAAGCCCTCCTTCTCCATCATCAATCTCAACAACCATATCTACGACTACCAGTGTGCCGAGTGCACTGCCCAGACACCCACCGTCTCTCTTGTCACACACACCAAGGTTGGCCCTGCCAACGCCACAACAACCATTTGCTAGAAATGGAGTATCTCAATAGTCCAAGGTCATCTGGTCTGATCTCTGTGTAATCAACTCTGTCTGTTGTATCCATAGTCTAACATGCAGCAACGTAATCATGCATTAGTTCGTGGAATGAATCAAGCACCCCTCCAAAGATCAATTGTCTGCTGTACACTGTGCAACTTCCACCCTTCGCCCCGCCTCCCCTGCCCGTCGCTCTGCTCAGAATATGTTTTGAGCACCTCGCCCCAGTATATCTCTGCCGAATCGCGCATCTTCATCTCCAGCTCTGGCTTGCCCACTGCCAGCTTTGCCACTCCCAGTCTCAGCGCCTCAAGCAAAGGCAGTGGCGGCACACCATTCCTCGCCAGCCATCTTCCGAGCCTTTGGGGATCCTCCCGCCAGCCTTCAACACCTTGCAGCAAGTATCGCGCAGCAACATCCTCCTCTCCAGGCGACTCCAATAACGTCCGCCTCGCTGCATTCAAAAAACTCTGTCGTACCAGCGCTATCCGTCTCTCGCCAGACACCTTCATCTGAGCAAAGTTGACCTCATACTCTTCATCATAGAACCGCTTGGCAAACGTCAACTGGTCCACCGTGTGCATACCACCGCTCTGATACAGAGCAGGGTTCGTGATGTGCGCAGCGTCGCGCCGGAGGGAGAGGTACATTTGAATGTAGATGGGGATGAGGTGCGGTTTGTCGAGGGCCAGGCATTCAATGATGATCGTCCTCAAAAACGCGCCGACGCCTCCTCCCCATTCATCATCCACGCCCTCAAAGTGCTCTGCCAGCCCAACCAAGCCAGCGTCTCCGGAATGCACTCGCACAATCTCCTTCACCTCCTCCACCCCGACACTCGGAGGCGCACCCGAGCTGATCAGGTCATAGTGCAAATCAATACCAGTCATCGACCCGACCCGGACGAATATACTGCGATTGCCCTTGGGGTCCGACTCATAGTCAATAAACCCGGCTTTACGCTGCACGTAGATGCTCCGCGTGCGCACGAGGGCTTCCATATCACGTGGGTCGGAGAGATCAATCTTGATCGGCCAATAACGAGGCGAGTCGACCTCGATCGTCAACAACCGGTCAAACGAGGGTAGTTGGGTGGGCGAGATGAGGCTTTGTTGCCGGATCGTACCTCCCTCCATAAAGCGCAATTTGACGGGGAGATAGACCGTCTCGTGCGTCTCGACATCCCGAGCCGTGAGGCAGCGCGCTTCTACCGCCAGCGCCCAAAGATGCCTGAACGCTTGTGGATACGCCTTGTTATCGGCCGGGCTGGACGTGAATCGGGGAAAGAATGCAATACACATGGCGGCGATCGCAAGGTTTGAATTCCCCAGCGTATATTCTCCGCGCCCGACAAACAACAGACCCAAAGCCATGTGCATGGCCATATGTGTGCCATATGTCACCCCGGCGCCTTCCTGGCCATGACTCACTCGCAATCGCCGCAACAAACCAAGCTCGCCCGTGCCAGACATGACAGCCGCCAGCGCTATTGTGACGACATTCAGCCCTTGTCTGGCTGATGTGCGCCGGATACGCCCTTCGTAGGTCATACTCTGTCCCGATACAGCCTTGGCGAGTATACTGTATTGGGTCAGGATTGTATTGTGGGCCAGTTCCTTGGCTGTACCAGCAAACTTGAGCCCGATGGCCATTGCGGCTCCGGAGACAATGTTGAGGTACGCCAGCTCGATGGGCAAATCGATAGAGGAAGGTCTTTGGTTGCTCTTGACGGCTGCAAGGACAAAGGACGGCACGAGACTTTCTACCCACGCAGTCGTCGGGGCAATGTCATCCCACATGATCAGAGCACGTGCGAGAATACGCAAAAGACACCATTCGGGTTTCACATGTTCCAGCTCGTATGGTGTTTGAGGAATCTCGAGCAGGTCGGCAATGTCTCGACGCATGGTCTTTAAGTACGCCAGGCCAAGTGCCAAAGTCGCACCAGGAGCCGTGGTGTTGATGTCGACACCAGGTGAGGCAGTCTTTGCATGAGAGCCATCCATCACCGGGGCTTCGCCCACGATACACTTGCGCAGCTGTGCCAGCATCTTTCTGTCCACTTCGCTCGCCGTGCTTCCTCCTCGGCCAAGCATGATAAGGCCGTAAGCCATGGAAGCGGAGAAGGAATAGGACTCTTGGTACTCTCCGAAACCATCCACATTCGGCATGTCCCGCCGGCCAATCTCGTAGAGGGCGACTTCGGCCATGCGCAAGTTTCGGCTGCCCACATAGACGAGACCAATTCCGACCATGGCGGAGGACTGGATGATAGGCGAAGCATTCAATTCCACAGATCCTAGCGGAAGGAGGGCGTGAGTATGCAGGGAGAGTATCTTGGTCACGAGTAGGTCGTTGGATCCCGCATAAGAGCAAGCAAGACCAAGCAGCAAACCAACAGAGGTAAAGTCGTGGCGCGGTTCCATGAGAGGGAAGGCGTGGTATGTCATCAATGACCGCAGATGGCCAGTCAATCCTAGACCCAGGAGAAATCCGCCATGTTCGGCATTCAACACACCAGGGCGGTTGAAGACGATCCACGAGCTGTCAATGTCTTTGCAGTCGGGTGATATTAACAGTCCTGCCGATACACCATTGTGGAAACAGGGCCACTCGGCAGAATCCGAGACAATCTCTGCTTTTAGAAGAGTGTTGCCAGGGGTGACTTTGACAGACAGCTCTATGAATGGGATTTCCCAGACATCCGTAATGACAGTCGTACGGGTACCATACTCAAACATACCTTGCCCAACGGTGACTGCCAACGTCCGGCTGGCAAGCGTGTTGACGAAAGACTGGTGGTATCTAGTCACATCCTCTGCACTGCTCAGTCTGTCAGCATATCTTCCCAGACCGGTTACTCGACATACCTTGCTCCCTTTGGGTCCTGTATTGTCACTATTCTCAGCTTTGTAGTCTGCATGATCCGCTCCACCTCCTGCAACCTCCTGTCGGTCCTGAAGCGCACGTGAGGAAGAGCGAGATCTGTCTTTTTGTTCCCTAATGCCCCAGTCTCCGCTGCCTTCATGATCTCGCCCACAGTCGGCCTCTGTATCAGTTCAAGCTGATCATCATAAGTACACGCTTTTGTTCAGAATGTCACGACTCACCTCCTTTGGCCAATCGTCCTTGGCCACAATTTCACCAAGACCTCCCTCTTCAACCTTCTTCACCAAATCCGACCTCCCAACCAGCTTGTACATTCCCGCGGTCCAGTCCTTCTCCGGCGACACCTGGCAAGCCCTGAGCACTTCTAATATCGGCAGCGACACGCCGTGGGGCAGGTCGGATATCCAATCGGGATTTGTGATTGTTTCAGCTATAGTCCTGACTGTTTGATAGGCGCGTTCTTGGAGTGGACGAGCAGAGGCGGGTGTAGAAGGGCCAAGCTCTTTGTATATTCTCGCTACGAGAGTAATTCGGGGGCAGGTATCCAATGGACCAAGCTCATCAGTATGAGATAGATCACTGCCTGTCCCGTGTCTGTAGAGATACAGCGTCTCGGGGCGGATGAACTCTTTCACTGGAAGCCTGAGTTGCTGGTATAGAGAGACTATGATATCCGGGGGGTGGCTGAACTGATCAAGCAATTGATAATCGAGCCCTTGACCTGGTCTTGTCAGCTCATTCCCGATAGACCAAGAAAGACTCACCAGTACCAAAAGTGACATTGTGAACTCTCATTGGTACTAATCTTTCCCAATAGTCTACCCAATCTTTTCTCCCCACGTGTATCGCGAGCCGGATGATCAGCCCGGCCACCCGCTCCAGATCCCTTTGCTTTGATAGCGCCAAGCGCTGGTCCTGCCCGACGAGATGGATCGCCAGTAAGAGTGAAACAGCGCGCTGAGGAGGGAGTGTGTACCGAGGGGCATGCGTGCTGGAAGGTTTGGACAGAGGACCGGTTGAGGTTTCGAGTAGGGACGCAAGCCGCCGGGATATAGGGTCCGCTGACCCCAGACCCGCTTGCGTCACCCCGCCAAAGCCATGCTGCTCCACTTGATCATGATCCACCCCCAGTATACCCTCCAATACCCTCACAAACACTCCCCAGACGCGCTCCTCATCGTTCTTTTCCCATGGCTTGAGCTGTTGTAGGCTGGACAAGAACTCTATCTTGTAATGGTAAAACTCTTCTGCTGAAAGGGATCCAGAGAGGGCCAAAAAGCATTGCTCGGTGAGTTCGTGTCGGATACGCATAGCAGCCGAGTACTGCTTTGCCGAACCGTCCTCGTACACTGCCGTAAAGTGTGGCCCCGAAGCGTCTGCGAGGCTACTGATGATCGTACCGTCCTCAACGGGGACATGGAAGGGCAAAATCTTTCTGCCACTGGTCATCAACTGAGTCCGTCCCTCGAGCGTCAAGAACAACACATCGTAAACTCCTTCCCGTGCAGGTCTGGAAAACGTGGGAATTCTTGTCGCCAAGACGGGAACGGCAGACAAGCACTTTAGAGGCGTAGCAACGTCGATTTTGACGCGATTCGAGAGAGGGGGGAGAGTAATGTGGAAGGAGAATAGTTGAGGCGAAGTCGAAGGACGGGGCGTGAGAGGCAAGACGTGAATGTTGACAGTGACCTGATTGGGACCTTTATCTTCGCTGATAAACGCATTGAGCTGTTGCGGATCGACCGGGCTTTTTCAAAGTCAGCGTGATGGCACAAACAAGTCATTCAACGCACTAGGGCTGCTTCCACCTTCCAATGACTGATAGTACGACCTCACTCCTCACTCCCACTTCATCTCTTTCCAGCCCCATCATCATGGTCGTCTCCCGAAGATCCTTCTCCACCGCTGTTTGTAATGCCATCCTCGGCGGTATAGGTAACGGCTGAGCAGGCAGCCCCGTTGATAACCGTCTCTGACCTTCTGGCCCAGGAGGGACAACCTGGGAATGAGGCAACATAGACATGCCCCTACTCCGCCGGTGTTGAGGGGCTGTCGGGGGAGGAAGATTGGCGTCGGGTTCCAAGACCGCATGGAGCTCATCTGTAGAAGCCGACTCTGGTAACGGACCTCTTGACAATCTGGGTACGCGACGCTGTCCCCTGTCGAGCGAATCTGCCACACTAGACAATCTCCGGTCTCCTGTCGTTGCTCCAAAAGACGAGGCATTCCGGTGCAGCGAAGGCCGTGATGCCCGAGGTTGGGGCGGTATTTGCGTGAGCTCGGCTTGGCGGAGAAGCTCTTCCGGACGCATTGTCCGGGGGTTAGGAGGCGGGGCTGGTTGGTGGGGAATGATAGGGACGCATGTCCGGCGATAAATAATAAACTCGCCAGCGTGTTGATCGTGTACGACCACGAACGGGTAGGGGTCTTCAGACACCATCAAGACGCTGCAGGTAGCGCTGATTGGATGCGTAGAGGATAGATGGAGCGTATCTCCAAACTCGATTTGGCCCTGCATGACCACTTTGAGCTCGTCAAAGGGATTTTCGAGGACGTATAGCCGGGGAAGGGAGGGTGCAGACTCGTCTTCAATGTCCATCAAGTCGTCCAGGATAGACATGGAAGTCTGGTCTGCCATTCCTCGCAATACACTACCAACCTTCTTCTTTTCGCGTCCAAACTTTCGCAGCTCGCGTTTCTCTAGCTCTCTCTGGACTAGGATGCCACCATTGGGAAGCCCCCAAGCACCGTCTACAGTGAATGGCAGGTGCACTATTATATCTGACCCGTCGGCGTAGTAGACATGGGCCCGAGTCTGGAGGAATACCACGAGGGTACGCTCGAGGCGAAGCGGAGCATTCTTGTGGGTGGAGGAGCGAGGACCTCCCCAGCTCGAGTGTTGAGACCGATGGAAAGGGCCAAACGTATCAGGCGTAGAAGAGGTGGTCGAGGCAAGCTTTCTCTTCTTCGAGGTCTCGCTGCTGCCCCCACCAGTCCGGAGCCAAGCAAAGCAGGCGTACCCAACAGACTCTCCCTCATGCTCATAGGTATACCGTTGATACACCTCTGCGCCTCTGCTCCATACTACTGTTCTTCCGTACCAAGCAAGCGCCTCTTCGGTCCACTCGCCATCGTCTCTGAGGACGGGACGGATTGACTTTCTGATGTGATGGTGAGTGCCGTAGTCGTGTTGGTGCTGGTCGTGTGGGAGGAGATGCCTGAGGGGGTCGCTGCTGGGCCCTGGGGTGTCCCGGCGGTGCTGTTTGTGGGCCGCCGAGGAGGGGCTGCCGAGGGGGGCCGCCGTGAGCATCGTCTCTATTGGTGCGTGTTTGTACCCCTGCGCGTTCGTCTTCGCGTCGCAACAGAGCGCACGTGGCTCTTCGGCTCGTCGGCGAACCCCGCCCAGCACCAGGTCTGACGGAAGCGTCGTCAGCAAGGTGAGGTAATTGTGACCTCCATGTATTGTTCGTACTATCAACGTTAATCGATGGCCGCGTTTGGCTCTTGCCAGCATGTCCCTCATCCATGCACGAGCCTGCATAGTGTGCATACGAGTACGGCCAGCCAGCCTCCACCTCCACCTCCACCCGGCGTTTGAGACCTTTCTCGTCATCCCGTCATTAAGATATGTCCTCGCTTCGCCCAAGCGATGCGCCCAAGCGATGATGTCAAATCAGGAGAAAAAGTCAACAAAAGAACTTTCTGGAAGGCCGAGGTCGTGGTGCATGGTGGCCACCGGCCATGGATGTCGCATATATAAGAGGTTGAGCAACGTCGTCGTCACTGTTAAATATCTCTCTCCCGCTCGTTCTTGCATTTCTTTAAACCACATACCCCAACAAAAAATCTTCCACCAGTAATGTCTTCCGCACACACCATCACCAAGGGCGATCTCGTCCTCGTCACCGGCCCCTCCGGTTTCATCGCTTCCCACGCCGCCAAGGAGTTCCTCCAGGAGGGCTTCCGCGTTCGTGGTACCGTTCGATCCGAGGAGAAGGGTCAGTACCTCACCAAGCTCTTTGAGGGTATGGGCGAGTTTACCTACATGATCGTCAAGGACGTCAACCAGGTGCGCTTATCTTTCACGAATCGTCAAAGGGGCGAAGACTGATGTCAGCAGGATGGTGCTTTCGACGAGGCTGTCAAGGGCGTCGATGCCGTTGCGCACTTGGCCTCTCCCTTCTACGTCTCTGATGTCAAGGACCCCCAGGAGCTTATCGGTCCCGCCGTCAAGGGTACCACCGGTGTTTTGGAGAGCATCCAGAAATACAAGTGAGTTTACCGTCGTGAATGGGCCGAAGCATCTCTGACAGCCAGTAGCCCCGACGTCAAGCGAGTCGTCATCACCTCTTCTGTTGCCTCCATCATGTGCACGGACTCTGTCAAGTCTCCCTACATGTGAGTGGAGCTTTTGTCACGAAAATGTTCTCCGCTGATTGTCGCCCCAGCTACACCGAGAAGGACTGGAACGTTGACAGCGCCGCCCACGTCGAGAAGAACGGTCTCCAGTCCGCTGGCTTCCACTCTTACCTCGCTTCCAAGACCCTTGCCGAGCAAGCTTTGTGGAGTGAGTACGACTCTTTTCAGGAGATCAACAACTGACAATCGGGCAGAGTTCATCGAGGAGAAGAAGCCCTCTTGGGACGCCGTCGCCATCAACCCCCCTTACGTTCTTGGTGAGATCATCCACCAGTGCGACAAGCCCGAGTCCCTCAACACCTCTGTCGCCGCCTTCTACGAGTGGGCTTCCGGCAAGAAGACTGAGGACGATCTTCCCGCTCCCTTGGGTAACTGGGTCGATGTGAAGGATGTTGCCCTTGCCCACGTTCGAGCTCTTACTGTCCCCGAGGCCGGAGGCAGCAGGTTCATTGTCGGAGCGGGCGCCTTGGCTGGCCAGGACTTTGTTGATGGTATCCACAAGAACTTCCCTGCTGTCAAGAACGTCCCCGTGGGCACTCCTGGCAAGCACGACGAGATCTGCAAGGACCTTGACATCTTTGATGGAAGCAAGGCTGAGAAGGTGCTTGGTATCAAGTACACTACGTTGAACGACTCTATCATCCAGATGTTCGAGTCTTTGAGGAAGAGGTTCGGTACCATCTAATAGAAACATAGATATATAGAACATGTATATAGTTCATGCAGAGAATCAGAAGTTTACACTTTTGGAGAGCTTTGCCTTATCCAAGCCTTATCGCAAGTTTTTGTGCTCGAGTCCGGTCACCGTCAGAACGGCGTCGGTCAATTCCGAACATCGGCGAAATGTCGGCTCATGGCGTCATGCACTTTGAAGGCCGACCTCTATCACCTCAGCATAGATTACATGTTCTTCTGTTCTGCATTACATTCCACTGACAGCAAAATGGCCCCCATTACTAAAGGAGACCTCAT